AATTCGCAGTAGTTGAGTGTTACTAGCAGTAGCTGCACGTGGTGGGTTTAGAAGTGGTCGGGAGCCACCGGCTTTTTGCATCATATGCTTGAAGGTACTTGTACTTGTTAGTGGTAGTCAGTATTTATCGTGGTATTACAACACCAGTCATAAAACCCGTAGGCCCGTAGAACCCGTAAAGGCCCGCAAAGACCCGTAGAGCCCGTACTGTAGAGCCCGTAGGGCCCGCACAGGGCCCGCGCAAGGCCCGCGCAGGGCCCGTAGAGCCCGTAGGGCCCGTAGAGCGCGCAGGGCCCGTAAACCCGGGCCGGATATGGCACTCGTCTCCCTATAAAGGCGGTCGCTTATCCAACGCTAGAGCGAGCTTCTTTCATTCTGCATGTTCAACTTCATCACCACAAAAAGACAAAACACAAGAAGACAAGAAGCGTCCTAGAGTTTGTTCCAGAGGGTTTTGTTCTGATTTGTGTTCTCTGCCTGTTTGAGCTCATACAATCACTTGTCATCAGAAGCTCACGCGCAGGGTGAACTCAACCTCTCTCTCTCTCTCTCCGTCCCATCTCAGGGCATAGCATCAGTCATATTGCATGGAGAGCAGCGGTAGTGGCGTCATGAGGGAAGGCCATGCCCAGTACACACTTGAACTCGAAATCCGAAAGCTAAAAAATTCGCTGTGTGACATTCATTCAGACTCGTTCTGAGACTCAGAAAGACGGCGTTGGGAGGGCGTTCAACTGGCTCAACAGCAAAAACAAACCACCCCCGTCCCCGCACCTTTCGTCCTTCAAGCCGTCATCATGGTTCCACATAGCATGGTCACTTGGGATCGTGCAGCTGCAATTACTCTTCCAACACAGCACATTGGATGTTGGTTAAGGTCGCCTCGCGTGTCAGGCTTGATGTTGGATTCACAGGGTTGCTCGGGACGTGTATTGTAACGTCTACACATCTATCACACACAGACACAGAGACACAGACACAGCAACAGCAAAGAGCAACAGAGCCTTGCAGGAACAACAAAACAAGCTGCAACCGCCCGGTCAGTCGCTGTCTGCACACAGTGCAGGATCATGTGAGACCTGAGGTTTGGATCTTCCCGCTGCAGGAGTCAACATCACCATGGAGGCCTGGTTTCCGACTCAGGTCTTCACCTGGCCTCCGCGACGGTCTCCAACATACCCTTTTTGCATTCGTATTTCCTTGAGCAAGCAGGCCGTTCTGGGATCGTTCCCGGAGCTGGTCAGCATAGATGGCGCGGTCGATGCTCGGCTGCAGTGATTGTCAGCAGACTACAGACCAGATTCTGGTGCACAACCCTCACAACACCCGCGAGCATCTTTTGCCGTTTGAGGCTCCAAAGCGGTCCTTGGCATGGCTCTGGCAGACGGTCGCAGCATCTGGGGCAAAGAAAGCAATTGATGGGTTTCAACATGCAAGGGGTGATCCTCAAAGCCACTGCCCAACAAAGACCTATTGAAGCCAAGTACTAGTAACTCAGTCCGGAAAGAAACTGGGCTACGCAGCTCAGAGAGTCGGGGAGAGAGCCAACGATCTTCGGCCCGCGGCCACCGCCTTGAGCTTCTCTGCTCCTCGTCGAGGCCACCTGCTGCTGGGCGTTGAGCGACGTCATCTGCGTGGCTCATTCCAGCACTGAGATTTCTGTAGGGAGGTAGGGAGATTCTCCGACTGGAGGTGGATTGCACAAGTTAAAGCGCGAGAAAGGTGATCCTCTCCCCTGTCGTTGGGTGCTCAGGACGCTTGCATTCGTCCGCCTGCAGCCGATGCAGCCGGTGACACAACGGAAAGGGAAGATGTGGGCACCATGGCGACTTGGTTCAACAAGTCCTCAGTCGCCGTGTCGAGGTCACGACATGCACTGTGCGAATCACCGCTGAGGGCAAGCCAAACTCCTCGCCAGAGCCGACGTCACTGCGCCAGCGTCGTCGGCCTGATGCACTAGGTCCATCGGGTTGGATGAACTCGCAGAGACAAGTATCAACGGGCGCATGGACTTGTTGCTGCTTATTGCTCGTACTGATCCTGCTGCGGACTTGCGATGGTGGCACACCACTGGGAACTTTTCACTGTGTTTGAGTACAGTATGGACCGAGAGGGCATATCCTGTGCTGCCCGCTCACCAAAGAACCTGTCCTAGGACCTGACAGCCTTTAAATAAATCTGTCACAGGTGAGGCAGTGGAGACGGATAGCCGGGAGAGCAAGGCCAGGATCCGCAGTAGCACAGCTCGTGTGCAACTGGGACATGTCCAGAGATTTCCAGCTCCAGTACACACAGCCGAAGTATCAGTGTCACAGGAGGCAGGCTTGAAGTCGAAGGGAATCACAGACAGACGTAGGCAGTGTTTGGACCAACCCGCCATGTCATCAAGCCTTGATTTCTTCGCTCGCCCCGACTTCGGAAAGCAGTCTGCGCACCTGACCATTTCGATTCCTGAAGGGTCGGGCGGCATGGAAGACAGCTCGGAGATGCACTATCCACCTGAGGCTGTTCAGATCCGGAACACGTTCATACATATCGCGAGCCCAGCTGCTCCCGAAAGCGCCTGCCGAGCCGCACTGTCATGTCCTGCCTCCCATGTCGGACTGATCCAACGGACAATGAAGGACTGGCAGGACGATGTGAAACCTGCTGGTGGCAAGCCCGTCATATGCTTGGAGGATGCCCTTTGTGTTAGCACAAACGAGTGGGCAGGTGAGGCTGTCGACATTCCGACGGGCTGGCAATGTCCCCTGCAAGACTGGCAGCTGGAACCACCAGCAACACTTGCAGCTACTTTCGAACTGGTGCCGGGAACATCGGAACTTCCCAGCATCGGGTCCAGCGGACACTACACTGGCGACTGCAAGCCTTGTTCTTTCCTCTATGCTGCTCAGGGCTGCAGAAACGGTGCGGCGTGCATTTTCTGTCACCTGTGTGACAAAAGTGAGAAGAAGCGGAGGCAGAAACTGATGAGGGCTGCTCTCAACAAGTGCCAGACCGCCTGAAACCTGTGGGATGCACGTTCTCAATTCATTTGCTCCTGAATCCTCAGTGGGCTCGGAGCGAATTAAGCGATGCAGCTGCAGGTGACCATGTCGGTGTGTTCCTGTGACCTACGGCACAGCCGGCGCCGACACGCCCGCCTTTTGTTCTTTCTGGCATCAATGAGGGTGCACAGCTTTCTGAGGCTGATTCGCCGGCACACTGTACAGACATCCAGCAGGCCTGCGTGAGGTGCCAGAATCGGAAGGCACTCTACAGCCTTAATTCAGTGTGAATGCTGCAGCCACTGCTGTCTGCAGTAGTCTTCATTCTGGCCCGAAGCGCCAGTGATTCTCCGGGAAAGGGTTGCAGCTGCAAAGCCCCTGCTGTTTCCCTGACGCTGGACACAGTGATCAAAGACAGGCGTCTAAACACATGGCGACCTCTTGCTACCATGCTTGGCAGCGTTATGGTTTGCAGGGTGGCCGTATCACAGCAGGAAGCGGGTCAAGAATCAGGGGCGCATTCAGCAGCCATGTCGACAAGCCTGAATTTCTTCGCTCGCCCCGGCTTCGGAAAGCAGTCTGCGCACCTGACCATTTCGATTCCTGAAGGGTCGGGCGGCATGGAAGACAGCTCGGAGATGCACTATCCACCTGAGGCTGTTCAGATCCGGAACACGTTCATACATATCGCGAGCCCAGCTGCTCCCGAAAGCGCCTGCCGAGCCGCACTGTCATGTCCTGCCTCCCATGTCGGACTGATCCAACGGACAATGAAGGACTGGCAGGACGATGTGAAACCTGCTGGTGGCAAGCCCGTCATATGCTTGGAGGATGCTCTCCGTCCCTCAAAATCTCTGTCGGCATCATCGGAACTGCCCAGCATCGGATCCAGTGGCCACTACGTTGGCGACTGCAAGCCCTGTTCTTTTCTGTACGCTCCTCAGGGGTGCAGGAATGGTGCCGTTTGCATGTTTTGCCATTTATGTGACAGAAGTGAGAAGAAGCGACGACAAAAGATCAAGCGAGCTGCTCTCATCAATCGTCAGAGAGCTTAGCGGCTTAGCGATGCCCGGTCTGGACACTAGGTGGGGCCCTTAGGGGCTACAAGACAGCAGCTGTGCATCCAAAATGGTTTTCCCAGGCGGATGGGTCGAGAGTGCACGTGCTAATTACCTCGGCTGTGGCTTCCTCTTTTGTTTTCTCAGAAGCTGCACAGAGAGCTTTCTGAGAGGCTCATGCCAGGGCAGGGGCTCTGTACAGAAATCCAAGCCTCGACTCACTCATCGCTCATGCTCTGCAAGTAGCCTCCTCCTGGCCTGACGTGCCAGTGGTTGCCCAGAAAGGGTTTCAGCTGCAAAGCACCATCTGTTCCCTGACCTTGCCAAGAGAGTACGCGAGAAACTTGTGGTTTGTCTTGTCCCCATGCCTAGTGCGTTATGCAGTCGTGTCATGATGTCACTTCATCACTTTGCACAAGCATTGAATTGTCATGCAGGCATACCGGCTCGAAGTGTCTCACAGCAGGAACGGGCGGTGCATTCACAAGCCATGTCGACAGCCCTCAACGTTTTCGCTCGCCCTAGCATCGGCAGGCAGTCTACGCCTACGCGATTGACCATTTCGATTCCGGAGGGCTCGGGCGGCGTGGAAGACAGCTCGGACATGCACTATCCACCTGAGGCTGTGCAAATCCGGAATACATTCATACACATCGCGAGCCCAGCTGCTCCTGAATGTGCATACCGAGCAGCATTGTCGTGTCCTGCCTCCCATGTCGGACTGATCCAACGGACAATGAAGGACTGGCAGGACGACGTGAAACCGGCTGAGGGCAAGCCCGTCATATGCTTGGAGGATGCTCTTTGTGATGACACAGGTGAGTGGACAGCCGAGCCGGCTGTAGAAATTCAGGCGGGCTGGCATTGCCCGATGCAGGGCCGGCAGCTAGAGCCTCCCATAGCGGCTCCGCTTGAACCCGCCCCAGGAACATCGGAACTTCCCAGCATCGGATCCAGTGGACACTACACCGGCGATTGCAAGCCCTGCTCGTTCCTCTACTCGACTCGGGGCTGCAGAAACGGTGCCATGTGCATGTTCTGCCACTTATGTGACAGAAGTGAGAAGAAGCGGCGTCAAAAGATGATGCGGGCTGCTCTTGACAAACCCTAGTAACTGGCCCTAGTAGCCCTCACTTGCAAGTTGTGCACGCCCTGGATCAACGGAGCGCCGTCTAACTCTGCGCATTTTCAGCGAAGCAGCTGAACACATTGAATTTGAGTGCTTCTGCACAAGCTGGCATGGCATTGGCTTCATGTTTTCGTTGTCGGCAGCACAGGGGCTGCACAGAGAGCTTTCGGTGGCTCATGCCAACGTCCAGTTGGTACACTGTGCAGACAGCCCTAGCTGGCAAGAGCTGGGGCGCCACAAGGCGCCACTCAGTCTTAATTCAAATTGCATCCTGCAGTCTGCAGTTCATCCTGGCCTCAAGTGTCAGAAAGTGTCTGGTGTAAAACCTTCGACGCGTTGTGGAAAGTCTTTGCACTCGGTGCTCGCCTTTCTGATGTCTGCGTCAGAAGCTCGTCAAGTCGACTGATGAAGTTGCTTGCAGGTCACCTTACGCCGAATCACATCGCCCCGCTTGCGACCTTGTCGTTTGGCTACTTCTCCCTAGTAGGTTGCAATGAGACGGTCTGAAAGCATTGCCTTACCTGGGCGGTCGCCAACTGAGGTACGCAGTTGATGCCTGAGGCCACTGCTGTCGCTTTTGTGTCCGGCGAGCGTGTTTCGACTCCCGGGTTTAGTAGATTCTGCAATCCGTTCATTTGTCAACGCTGGGGTGCATCATTCCATGTCCTCTGTCTGTGAGGCAGGGCTCCGATGCAAAGTGACCTTGCTACAGCTTTGTGTGCTTCCCAGGTGCCGGCTTTGGACTGGTCCTTGGATGGCGATGGGAAGCCCGAGGCGAGTGGGTCTCTGCCAGCAAAAAGCCGCGGAGAGAAGCGCACATCTGCACAGCGGTCCGCAATAGCTATTCAATAGCCTTGAAGGAAGGTCTTATGTTGTCATGTCGAGACACATTGCACACCACAGGAGTTGGAGCGCTTGACGCCAGAGCAGAATGCCTTGGCATCTCGGCTGCGTAAGTGATGCCGAAACTATAGAAGCATGGGAAAGCACTCTCTGCTACATTGAAGGTAGAGCACCAAGCATGCCCTAACTTCGCCAATTGGTACTTCAGCAGGCTTTAGCCAGTCAGGCGCGCACTAGTTAGTGCACCTCTTTTTGTGCGGGTCCTGTTGCCGAGTCGCAATATACCGTAATCCTTGAGTAACCGATCTTCCCTTCTCACGGTTCGTCGGCCCCGGACCATCCACCCCAGCGTATCGCACTTGCATCAGGAACCGATTGGAATTTAGGCAGGGTTTGCAAGATTATCATGCAGTGGAGGGCTCGTTGAAGGGGCAAAGTGCAAGACAAGTGTCAGCCATATTCGAGGCGTGTGCAGGGTGTCGTCAATCAGGAAAGTTCAGGAAAGGGTGCTTTCTTTGTCAATGGTGCACGAAAGAAATTCCATGCGACGACGCAACGAGGTCAGCGGCTGCGTGGCTCTGGTCACAGCTCTGGTTGCCTGCATGCTGCATGCCGCCCGGGAGCCTGGCCTCTGCGGGATTCCTGTGAGCGTGGCGCTATCCGACAAGCGATGCAAGCCTTCCTTGCCTGGGTCAAGGTCCCCATAACCTTGAGCTCGACCAGACTGGCTCTGGCTGGTGTGGGAGGGTTTTTTCACTTCACCGCGTGACCTCAGCTGGCAATGGTGGTGAAGCCGCACTGTGCTTCTATCTGCTTTTCTTCAAGGCATGCATAGATACCGTTGTCGTTATGCATCTTAGTCTTGTGCATCGCGTTCACGTCGGACGGTCGAGATCTTGAATGATCTTGACATAGGTTTGTTGAGCGATGCCAGTCGTACGCACGTGGAGATGGTCGTGTGCAGTCCGCACATGTACATGCATAGGTCCATCGGAGTAGACGTGCCTGCGTGTGCCTTTGTACGCAGGCATATCGTTCATACATATTGTGTCTATCCGTTTGAGTGTGTTCGTGTGGGAATTTTGCGCTCCGCCAGGTATCTCTGCACCCTTTGTGCTTTCACTTCTGCATCAAGCACGGTGGCATCCTTGGATTTCCGTGCCGCTTCTTCGCTTGCCGACTTGTGCTACCTGCTGCGATTACTTACAGATGCTTCTACACCCCTGCTGCTACCTTTTTGTAAAAAGATCTGCTGAAGGTAATTACGCCATTGATGCAGCTCTCCGCGCTTCTTGGCTGTTGGACCGTTTCATGCTGCACCCATCTGTTCGAATCCCACGCTGTCTGTTTGCACGGGAAAGCGAAGTAGGTTCAAGGCAGATCTGCGTGCTGGAATTGAGAGCCAGCAGGCTCTGGATGTTGCCATTCTCCACATCTGCAGCTTCGCTTGGGCTTGCGCCCATCATCCGGCCGATCCACCTGGTTGCAGTCAGGACCTCAGCCTACGGTAGCTCAAGCATCGCCTGCTCCGACTGGATTCGTTGGTCATTGCTTCTTCTCTGTTTTGTTGTGTGGACGTAAGCGCATGTGGGGAGACGGCTGGCCACCCCGTCGCCACGACTGCCCAGACCAGCCGATGCCAAGCCAAACCAAGCTAGCTTTAAGATCGCACCACTTGATTAACTGGACTAGTTTTCGGCAATCCTGCTACAGCCGTATTCGTTGTCAGAATCATGACACGATATGACTAGTAACAAGCAAATCCTGAATGCAATATTGGGTTTAAACTTCCACTGCTGCGCGAATGAGCATCTTACGAAGCTCTCTTTGCAGTGGTTGGAGCCTTGACATAGCTCGACAGCGAGGAGATACAGTGAAACCGGGTCAAAAAAAGCTCCAAAACCCAGGCCGTACCATGCGATTTAGATGACCAGGGGAATGAAAGCCAAAACTTGCAGCATCACTCCTACCTACCATTACAGCTGGCTGGCACAAGTGTGCAGCCAAACACCTCCTCGCCAAGAGAACACAGGGTGCAGCAAATTATGGAACTTATTACTGTAGCAGTGTTTGGTGCAAGATTACTGCACCAGATCTAGGTCTCTATACTTATCCTGCAGTGTAGCAACATCACCCGTACCAGATCCACGATTCCACTGTGGGATTCCAGTCAAGTTCGCTTTTAGTGCCCGGTGCAGCGCCCGGTTGAAGACAACTCAAGCACTTCGGTCACAAGCCGAGGTGCTGCTGATTTGTGCCGGCGGATTTCTGCCAGCGGCCGACGGCTGCCTGTCCTCCGTGGTGGCTTGGAGCACAGGGGCTTGACTAAGGTTGGGCCGGAGGCCCCAAAAATGTCAGCTCCAAGGACTCGAAGACTAAAGACCGGGGATCGAAGCTCTGAAAGCAGCAGGCTCAAAGCATATGAGGTCCTAGAATACTAGAACCGTTTCCTGGAAAGGTTGTTGAGGGAGGGCCAGGCTCGGATGTGCGACGGCCCGGGATGGACTCCTCAGTGATCCACCTGCGCCACACAAAGTTCAGCTCAGCCGTCGTCTGGATTGTGCGTATGGGAGAATTCAAACTGCACTTACGGGCGGTGGACCCGAGTTTTGTATGCGATTTGGGCCATGCCACATTTTCACATCCTCTGTTGCAGTCAAACATCGTGTGATGGTTTGCTTCGCAGTCGTCTGGCATGCTTTGCACCCGGTCTCGATGCACAGCTGAGGCCACAGGGAAATTCTGGCAGCAGCGTGCAGTGAGATGCTGACTTGAAAAATGCATGTCTGCCAAGTCACTCCATGTCTGTGCGGGCCCACTGGCCTTGTAACTGATGTGTGGTCGGTTTGTTGGTACTTTGCTCGCGGACAGCATGTCAGGTTCTGAACTTTAGGAGGGGATTCGTGCTGATTCGGAATGGGGCCACGGGGGCGCGGATGCCAGCCCTGATTGTGAAGTGTGTTGCAAGCCAAGGATATGTGGTAACCGGCGAGTTGCTGATTTGTTGCTACAATGTGCTTCTACATCAAGCGACCTTTGAGGAACCAGGCCTGGCCCTAAGCGCCTCTCATGTTTGAAGCGTCATTTCATGCTTGCAGGCTGTCGATAAATCGAAGCCGGTGCTGCAGGTCTTGAGCCGTCAACGACCGCTTTGGCACCTTTCCAGTGCCCGAGCAGACAGTTTCAGCGGTCTAGCATGTGTTCATGAACGAACGATGCTAGCTGCAAAGGGCCAGGTATCCGGCAAGTGCCTTGCAGCACATCCATTCAAGGTTCTTTCTCATCAGCCGTGTTGCGAATGGTCTGCCCGGTGCCAAGTCTTCTGAGACTGGTGATGGCAGCGGGGCTCATCCAGAGTTATTCTTTGAAGAGATGGCAGCGCTCAGGACGTGTGCGGCTCTATTCCTAGCCATCCCGTCCCTTCGCTCTCATCTTTGGGCTCTTCGCAAGGCCGCTGCACTGCTAATGATTTAGAGAGCCTTGGTATCTGGAGTCTGGAGCCCTGGATGTTGCAGCATTGTAGCATTCCCCATGCACAGGTCAAAAGGCGGTTTTTTGCTGTGGCATTACTGGGAGAGGTCCTCTCGATGCTCCTTGGTCCAATCTTGACACAAACTTGCTAGTACTTTGATTGAAAGAGCATGGTTAGGCATTGTCTGGATTCGTAAGAAGTCTGTCGCGCGCGGGTGTAGCACGAAGTGGGAGTACATGGCAATAGAGCTTGCCAGTGAGGCTCGAGGGACCCATTGACCTATTGGCCTCTCTGTCCCAAGCTTGCTTTCATATTCATGCACGCATGCACGCATGCCGTTACAAGGAGTGAGTTTAAAGGTGTTCAATTGCACGCATGTTGAGACTCATTAGGGAGGTAAAGAAAGTACTGCCACACGTGCTGCGCAATGTCCGCTTCAGTTCGTGCAGGTAATGTCGTTCAAGAATGCGCTTGATCTTTTCTCTTAAGAGATTGGACAGTGATTTTATATCTGGTTTTGGTAGATGTTGTCGCGATGTGCTACATGTACATCGCAGTCAAACAGGCCTAGAGGCTTTGATCTTTGATGTGCCAGAAAAGTGTGAACGTATTTGCACATAGCCGATATACCTAGTGATCCCCATCACCATGTCTTAGTGTAAGTCGGTTGTCTGCAAGCACATGTTCAGATTTATCAACGACGGCAGTGTCCGTCGGTTAGGTACGTGTGCATGGTCACATCCTACTGCATCATGGACGGCCTGCGCACGTACAAGCACATGCACGCCAGTGTGTGCCGATATAGCGGAACTGAACCCATGAGGCAACTAGATATGTACTTTTCGTCCGGCGTTGCGCAGAGATGTGTGCATGTGTAATTCTTGGTGTGTTTGAGCACACACACACACGCGCATATATATGTAGGTATATAGATAGATCAATGTCTATGTGCAGTACATATATATAAAAAAGAGAGAGAGAGAGAGAGAGAGAGAGAGAGGGAGAGCCACCTGTGCAGACACCAACAGACCCTTTTGCAGGAGTCCGGGATGGCAGGCAAATCGGACGTAAGCGACAACCACCACCCAACACCACCTCCACAACCACCGCAACCCCCACAGCCACGACAACAACAGCCACAACGCAAGCCAGCACCACCTCCGACACCAACAAAGCAGCCAACACAAACACGGCCAACGACCACCTGACCCTCATGCAGCGATACCTCCAGCCAAACTTACGCTCGACACCAGACCCCTCCAACACACAGGCGGGGGTACACATCCCCGCAAACACCCAGCCAGACAGTGCAGAAGACCCCGACGACCAACCCCCTCCCAACAACCCCCCCCCTCTGCAAGCCGCCCCACCACCCACACACGGTACCACAACAAGCCGTGTGGAACACCAGCTCCTCCGCATACACCACCTTGCGAGCCAAATACCCGGGGGAAGCACGATCGCCACCCTAGCCGAGTGTGCTCTTGCGGACCTCCTCGTTGACAGTCAAACAGAAGCACAAGTGCTGCGACACCTCGAACTCGAACAACACGCGCACACCAATACCAGCGAAGCAGCACAGCCCCAGCAAGCACCCCACAAAAGACAAAAAACTGAGCAGCAGCCGCAGCCGCCCACAGCAGCAACAAGAGCCCTCCAGCATATTTTACCCACAGCACAGCGCAGGTTGGTCTCGGCCGAGGGGGAGCATATCTTCGTATCATACTACGACATACAACATGACGTCGACCACATCATTGCATGGCTGAACCTCTTGAGCAATGGGGGGAGTACCTCCTCGGCATCAAGCTCCTCCTCCAGACCAGTGGATGCAGCAGTTATCGGACGAATTGTCCGTGAGCTGAGCAGAGCACTCCAAGGCATCCAGGGGGACAACAGAGCTGAACACTGGGTGCTCCTCGCCGAAGTCGTGATGTTCCTTCAAGCCTGGGAGAAGGGGGAAACAATAGCTCACCCTGCAGACGTGGTGGCGTCAAACCGCGGGGTACTTACCTCGAACCTTGCTCGAGAACGGCGGCAACAACGAGCACGGGGGATTATCCTCGAGCTTCAGGAACTCGGGGAACGCCTCCACGACTGGCCCGCGGACGAGCTCAACAGCATCCACGCCGCGCTCCTACAGACCTTAGAAGAGGTCGAAGAAGCCCTCCAGCCCGGGGGAAGTGCGGCCCCACTTCAGAACCTTGGGGGAAGGGCCAGCAACTCCCGAGAAGAAGCAGCGCCCCCTACAAGCTCGGGGGAATGGTGGCTACAAGACCGACACCATGGGCTGGGAAATGCGCCGGGGAGCGACATCCGGAGCCCCACAGATGCAGTCAACAGCGATGAGGGGGCAAGCGCCACCTCACACCGCCGCAGACGAGTACACGCTGCCTTCGCTGAGGAGTGAACAACAGTGAGCGTAGCAGGCAGTCATTTCTCAGCCGGGGGAAAAACCAGCCTCAGTCCAGGCCTCTTAACCTAACACCTAACTCCCAAATGCCCTACTGTACTTCACAGTTTATCCTGCACCTGGTTTCTCCATGTATGCACCGAGCCGGGGGATAGGTCAGGAAACGACAAAGAGCCCAAATACAACTCCTCACACATAGTACTCCTCTAGGGGTTCGAGTATCGCTGTGCCATTGTTTCTCAAATACACATTGGGCGATCTTTGTCGAGCGAGTGTGTGCACCCCCTGCTCAGCGCGAACATGTTTACTTCACATGATAGCTCTTCAAAAACGGTAACCATCTAGGGAGGTTATCAGTGTTGTGCCATTGTTTCATACCAGCAGCCCTGAGCGGGGGGAATCCAAACAAATACGCACAGCCCCAAGCCCAGAACCATGTGATGAGTTATGTTCTTTACCCTAGCTGCGTGCAGTTGTTGTTTCGATCCCGTGAAAGACCTGGGCCGGGGAAAGATACACACAGGGGGAACGCCTCCGTAGAGCTCAGCGAGAGACGTGCAGCCCAATCCCAACTTCACTACATATGGTACTCCTATAGGTGCTGCAGTAACGCTGTGTCCTTGTTTTGCAACAAAAAAGCGGGTGCACGTTTCCAAGACAAGCACATGAGCAGGGGGGAACCAATACGTACAGCCCCAAGCCCAGTACCACGTGATGAGTTATGTCCTTTACACAAGTTGCATGCAGTTGGTGTTTAGATCCTGTGAACGACCTGGGCCGGGGAAACATGCACACAGGGGGAAATGCCCCTGTCAAACTATGATAAGAGAGAAACGTGCAGCCACATCCCAACTTCTCTACATATGGTACTCCTGTAGGTGTTGCAGTACCGCTGTGTCCTTGTTTCGCAACAAAGGAAGCTGCACGTTTCAAAAGGCATATACATGAGCGCCAGTCCCTGCTTCGTGTAACTCCTACCACATGGACCACACCTTGTTGTAGCTAACGTCGTGCTTTTGTTACATGCCCCTACACTGAGCAGGGCAGATGAACATGTGTAGCAGGCGTGCCCAGAACAAATAAAGAGCTGAAACCTATATCCTGCCGACACCTGGTCTATCTTGAACATCGGGTTTGAATGTTAAGGCATGCCTTCCGTGTCATCCTGGGGGAATAAACCCCCCTACACCACCTCCCACTGCCCTCAATGGAGGTGAGTGCCGACTGTCCGAAACATGTTATGTCCTCTTATCACACTATCCTCGGGGTTGAGCTACGGACAGTCATGCATAGCAGGGGAAGCAATGTCCTGGAGAGCATACGTACTCCCTCAGCCACTACAGTATTATAATTAGTTCACGTTATTGGGAGTACTATGCTCGTTTCTCACACCCCTATCCTGCATTAAAACAATGCGGGTGGGCCTGTGGCCCGGGGGTCTTGACCGACCCTCATGCCCGGGGGAGAGAGAGAGAGAGAGGGAGAGAAAGATCATACCCTAAACTACTTGCACCCCTGCCACCCCGTAACACATGGGGGGCCACCAGGCCAGGGGGTTTCAGACGCCCCCTACGCCCAATGAAAGAAAGAAAGAGAGAAAGACAGTTTTGAGCACTCGGACTACGTTGACACTACAACTGGGGGAAGAAACCCTGACGCCGCTTCTGCATCCCTGAGTCGTGAGTCTTGTGGTCGGTTTATTGTTGTGCTTCCCATTGGCTGGTGCGCAATGCTACGGCAGAAGCTGTGCCCTCGGTGGTGGGTGCAAATCCAGCCACCCGTTCCACAACGGTCGGGGGCGCTGACAGCGCGCGGGCAAGGGGAGCTTCCCCTGGCCCCCAGCCCTGACGAAAGAGAGAGAGAGAGAGGCAGAGGGAAAACCGTGCATGACTCTTATTTTGCGAGTGCAGGATCGGAGTCTGCCTCGTCACTTTCTCCTACTCCGGCTTCTACGAGCCGTCTGTTGTGAATGCCGTCGAAGGCCACAGCACACTCAGACGTGCGCGCTTGCCTCATGTATTGCATCCATGCCTATCTTCTAAAGTTGACACTGCTTTCTGGTTGCCTGCGGCACGCACAGGTGGGCACTTGTGATTGATTGCATAAACCACACAATGGCTTGCATGATATGTACAGATGCACGGTCTGCAATGCAAACAAAGTCGAAGCAGCAGTCGTCCCACCTCCAGGCGGCCTACAGCAGCTATTCAATCTGATTTTTGCCACTTGGCTTTCACGTTGTGGTGGAGGCCTGAAGAAGCAAGCTGTACGTCTGTGAATGCGAACGCTGCTTAGGCCATCATCTCACATCGCCTTCTGGGCTTGGGACGGGGAGTAGAGCAGGCGCAACGTGGGGAGAGCACACTTATCGACAGTATGGATCTGCTCATCGCCGCAGTTTGTTCTCTAGACTAGCGAGACTGGATGATTAGTATTCGACGATGCAGAAACTGCGAGCCAGGTGCCTGTGAAATGCGCGTCCCTGCTTCTGGTATCAATCGGCTTGGCATTGTCCACCACATGACTCCCGGCTTGGAAGGTGGTGCAAGTCCAGCTGTTACGTCTCGCCTGCACCAAAGCACAACTAAGGAGTCAGCCCTGCCAACGAGCAACATCATGCGGCTGACAATGAAAGCAAAGAGAAATTCTTGAATTTCATGGCAGGTTGGGCAAGACTGGCGAGAAAGACAAGAATAACAGAGACTAGGCTGCGTCGCGTTTTCTGGCAAAGTGCAGTCATACAGTAGAGATCATGCATAGGGAAGTAAAAAATCGAAGCCCACCGGTGTGCCCACAAGCCACTACACTTGACCGAGTGATGGACGGTACATGGAGTGTGGATGTACTCGTTGCATGTGCCTGGTAAAGTTTTGTTCTTTGAAAGCTTGGCCCGTGCCATGCAAGCGTGCTTCATGCTTGAATCCGCGAACTGCTTATCGGGGCATTGGCATTGAAAGGAGATACCGTAATGTGCACGTGGAGGAGCAAGCTTTCGATCTCGCAGCCACACTTCTGAGCCAGAATGGGCCAGTGGTTGTCGCTACGAGACAAGTCTGCAGGAAGAATGCATCAAGCAATTTGGCGGCCGTGGATGCTGATATCCGTCAACACGTGTCTAGACACCGCTAAAGCGAGTCTGGTGTGCCGACAGAGGCAGACAGCACAACAACTTCGTGTGCACATCCATCTTTGTGCTTACAATCCAGTCAATAATTCAATGCTAACACGTGGCTTTTGAGAGGATATGAATCTCGAGCTTTGCTTGCCAGCATGTAGTGGGGGCGGGAGTCCGCCCGCGGATCGAGCTTGTCCTTCAAACTAGCCAGGTCCCCAAGCATCTGATTGATGTGGTGCAACACATCGGGGTGGAAAGAGAAACACAGGAACGCATCCGCCCGCCCCCGCCCGCCCCCACCCCCCCCACCCCCTACGCGTCCTCCTCTTGTTGTATCGTTTCCACGGCTGGTCTGTTCCTAGAGGCCACCGGCTTTCCAGGAGCACAATTCTCTCACAAGACATGCTCTTTGCTGTTACTTGTATCAGGCCAGCCAGGTACATGTGAAGTCAGCAACCGGCAAGCCGAAGGTAAAGGGTGTTCTGGATGACAGCGAGCGCACGGCATGCAAGAAAATTTGCGACCACATTGCAAGGTTTTCGAGAGGAAGTAGGCAGGACCCACTTACCACTAAAACTAACGAGTTTCAGGCCGCCAGATTGCATTTTGTTCTTGCAGCAAATACTCGTTCGAGAGTTTCATGTTCTTGCTGCGGGTTCTTTGCCAGCCACTACAGCATGCAATGCACAGCAGAAACGGCGGGACCCCGTTGCAGCAGCAGTAACGGCTAGTGAAGCCAGAGCTGCTCCGTGAAGTTTCAGGCGCATGTGCTATGAGCCTGGAGTGCTGGATGCCTTTCACTGGTCATGACTGCCAGCATCAGCTCAACCGACGGTTTGTAGGAGTTGGCCGACACAGCAACAACAGGCAGCAACGGCAGTTAGGTGGACGGACATTTGAGAATGACTCGGCTCATTCGTGATTTTAGCTTGGCCTTTGTTGCAGCGCACATGTTGTTCATGACAAGTCTTAGACGTCTACAGAATCCCGGTACCGCACCACGGTCGTTGGTTGTTCAGTTTGCCACTTTTGAGAAAGTCTTGGAAGTGTGGTGTCTGTTGCCGACGACATCTGGAACCTCAAGCGATTGAGAAATACCGCGTAGGGCAAAATGCACATTAGTGCCCCTAGTTCACGTCAAATGTGAAGAGCACTTGGAGCGACTTGCTGGATAGGGCTGGCCATAGGCGATGACATCGAGTGTAGCACGTGCAACCCACACATTGAAATCGTGCATGTTGGGAGTTGTCGACACGATGTGCGGGTAGTGTGTGGGGCTGAACTGCTCCACTCCATGACACTGGTCGGTGAGCTCCTGCAACGGTATGTTTTCCTCGCAGTGCAAGAGCTCCCGACCAGAGTTCTACGCCAAGCCTTGTGACATCATTGAGGCAGACATATTCTACTGAGACCAGAAGAACATAAGGCAGGATATGGATCAATCGTGTCCATGTGGCACTTCTTCGATTTGGTATGTAAGTGCTTTGCGGCATTTCTGTCGCGGGCCATGGTGTGAGCTTGAACCACCAGTCATGAATTAAAAGGTAGTCAGGAACTTAAGCGCTGGTGGTGCTGTACTGGTGTGACATGATTCCTGTGTCGTCTCAGCGACGTATATCGCTGGCGTTTCCAGCTAGCTCACTATCCGCTTCTTTGCACATTTCAATCGTGTGCCTGAAAAAGGACGCTCAATCTTTGGACTAAACGTTTTCACGCCAACCTTCGGAGGCTTCACAACCCCTACCTAACATAACCACACCAGCAAAACTGGTTACGTAAATTATCATTGCTTAGGGTTGACACTGGGTCCCACGTATTTTCCGAAGCTCCCATACCCACAAGCATAGGGAAAGGTATCAAAGCCAAGAGGAGCTTCATCGCCAGGCTCGCTGCACCGCTCAGGAGCGATGCGCTCCCAGGCGACTTTGTGAAGCCCTGAATGCGGAACCCGCCTTGAAGGTGAAGGCCGGCGGCTTTAAAGGGCTCTTTTGGCACCTCGGGCTTGCAGGGGGATTCATCTTCGGACCAAGTTCAGGAGGATTTGCAGAGCGTAGCGGCGTAGCAACCGAGACTTATAACTAAAAATGAAAGTCTAGTGAGTCTGGTTCAGGGACCTGACTTGGTCGGAAGACAGTGCGGGCAGATCTTGCAAATCTCCTGTTTCCGAAATGCGACCCCCAGAGCACAATCGACAACAGCACGGAGTAGAGACACCGGCAAAAGCGCGGAGATGTGAACGCATGCAAAGCAGTCGTCAAGGCAGCTGCTTGCTGATACTGACCAATGGGCTTAATTACGTGCTTTTGTTTGCCTGCGTCTGTCTCGAAGGTCGGAGGTGCCGTGTGGCCTGTTGGGTAGAAGTGTCACTGGTTGTCGCTCCGCATGCATCCTGCGATGTGGGAGTCGGGCAGCAAACCTTGGCGCAGGGCGTGACACAATCACGTCCGTTCCACCTCCGTTCTTGGGAACTCTGATCTGGTTATTCACTTGGCGAGGACGCCAGCAACGAGCGTTTGATCCAGCTTCACCTACGTCTAACGACGGCCTGGGCCCGATTCATGTTTGTTGGTTCAGGTGGAGTGCACGAATGTGCATCTGGGGGCCCGGAAGCTCACGCGGGGACAAACTTTCCAGGTGGCTTCGTACGCGGAGCTCCAGGGCTTCATCCGCCGTTGGCCAGGCATGTGGGGAAGTACCATGCATCCCACGCGTGGTTCTCACAGATGTTGACCAGGGTCCGGAGTGCCTCAGCATGAGCGCTGCTGCCAACATGGGGTCGAATTGCATTTCCTGAAGGCACTGCGTGCGCTGTAGCGGCGCCGACCTCAGTTTCTTATAGATGTGCAGGCGGCGTAAAGGCCCACCCAAGTACTGTACCGCAGAGAGATTCAGCACATGTCTCGTGCAGTTTGCTTTGAGTCGCGTGACTCGTCCAACAATCTCAGGCTGTAGGCCTTTGCGGTGCAGACCGGAACGTGCAATTTGCTGCCGTCTTCCGGGAGGCCGACGTAAATCGTGCCACCGCCCCGCGGTTTCCCGCATACATGGACAGGCGTACGGAGACCGCGACGCTTTGGTGGCAAAGACTCGAGCAAAAGCTTACGGTCCCTTGGCTGCCGCCAAAGACAACCCAAGGAGCCTGAAGGGTGCTTTGCACTCACAGGCAGGGTGCTGCTTTTGACTCGAAAGCACCGCATCGAACACGGCTTTGTTGAGGTATGAACTGCTAGCAATATGCATGCATATGCTAGATGGGATGTCTGAGAATCCTAGGTGGCGTGGGACCTTTGCACATGCCCGGCTCTTGGATTTCATTTGACTTGCCCTGCATTCTTCGGAGGTTCGAGCCCGAGATCACGGGCAATCGAGTAGGGTGTTCACGCATGTGTTTGCCCAGTTTGCGGACTGCCACAAACTGTGCCAACACTGCTTCATGAAATGAACCTTCTACAAACTCGGCCCGTGTCCGCAGACAGGCTCGAATCTGTCGCAGCGAAGCGGGTCTCATCGTACCTCCTGCCATGTCAACAACACGCAACATGCTGGCTCCTAGCTGCAGCGGGCAGTCTGCGCGATTGAGCATTGCGATCCCAGAGGACTCAGGTAGCTTGGAAGACGGCTCTGAGATGCACTATCCACCTGAGGCTGTGCAAATTCGGAATACGTTTATACATATTGCAAGCCCAGCCGCTCCCGAGGGCGCATACCGAGCAGCATTGTCGTGTCCTGCTTCCCATGTCGGACTGATCCAACGGACAATGAAGGACTGGCAGGACGATGCGACAGAAGCCAAGGGCAAACCAATCATATGCTTGGAGGATGCTCTTTGCAGTGGCACGAATGGTTGGGCAGCTGAGCCGGCTGTTGACATTCAGGCTGGCTGGCAGTGCCCCATACAAGACTGGCAGCTGGAGCCGCCAATACCGGCTCCGCTTGAGCTGGCTCCAGGAACATCGGAACTTCCCAGTATCGGGTCCAGTGGACACTACACAGGCGACTGCAAGCCGTGCTCTTTTCTGTATGCTGCACAGGGCTGCAGAAATGGTGCCATGTGCACGTTTTGTCACCTGTGTGACAAGAGTGAGAAGAAGCGGCGACAAAAACTAATGAGAGCCGCTCTGAACAAATGCCAAGATGACTGATGCGAAGCATGCGTCTGCAACTGCCCTTGCCAGAGCTCCCGCCGACTCACTATGCAGTTCTTTGAGATCACAGCGAACCAGCTGCTACTCATGAACGTCTGTGGTGGATGGACGAGGATCATGTTCACATGGCCTTTGCTTCACACGTCGTTTTTTGATATCTCCAGCAGCACAGTGCCTGCACGGGGAGTTTCTGAGGCTTATGTCACAGTACTGTCGGTACACTGTACAGAACTCACCAGCGTTCCGAGACTGAAGCGCCACAAGGCGCGGCATCACAGCCTGACAAGTTTGCAATGCAATTAATTCATCTCATGTCATTCTCTTGGCCTGAAGCGCCAGAGGCTGTCCGACAAAGGGTCGCAGCTGCAAAGCCCCATTTAATTCCCTGATGTTGATCGCCGCAAGGAAAGTCACAGTTAGCTGCCCGTGACATTCCGCAACGAAGCAACAACAGAGTGCCCGCATGGCCTAGGTTTACAGAAGCCGATTTCCACGGTGCAGTGGTGCTTGAGCCTGTTATCGTCTCTGCCTCAGACATAACAGATCATGATTGGCATCCTGTTGAGAGCTTTCAATGCGAACGCTGCGGAACCGAAACAGTGATGTGCAGGAGCATGTTCTGAAGTACGAGCCCGAGGCCAACGTCATGATTGCTCTGTGCCTAGCAATTTGTCCGTGTGTCCGGGCTTGCTCTCGCAGCAAACACGAAGCATCATCGGCAGCGTGTGGCCGAGGAGTTGAAATCTCCGCCTCAGCCGGACCCTCGAAGTCTGCAACAGCGACGGGGTCTCTCAGAGCGACTACGAGCAAGCATTTCAGGGATCTGGAGCAGCAGGATACATGTTAGCTGGATGAGGTCCACATGTTTCTCCATAGTTAATTTGACTCAAACTGGTATCTCGACACACGTGGAGCTGCCTGAACTTCGTTCTGCTTTTCGAGGTGTCCGGAATTCGAAAAGTCGGCGGTGGCTTTTGACGCGGAGGCCAGAGTGCACACCATCGATCTTTGCACATGTAATGGCACCCCCTTCCAGCATTCTTGGCATTATAGGCTGCAGCATGCTGACATGGCACAGCTAATATCGGCCGATGAAAGAACATCTCGTGGATGCAGCAGAGGATCGAGTACAAGGATAGGTGGTCTCCACAACGTTATGTTTGTGACAGGCTGCACTTTCATCCCGGGCACTGTGCGCTGCGGCTGCTCTGGCCCCTCGTGGTGACGGCCCGTCAGGTCTGGCACGAGTGCATGGAAAGCTGATGCTTGCCTTGTCTCCGTTCCTTTGCAGCCTCCTGCTTGCTCGCGAAAGAGCTGATGGTCCGCCATCCCACTGTTGCAACCTTAGACATTCAGATTGAGTCTCCTCGTCTCTTCCGAAACCACAAGCACCATGGCTCAGGCACCGGATATCCAGACTGCCGGCTGCAAAGTGCCAGGGATCCAAGATGCTCGAGAGGTGAGCCGCGACCGCCTTGCGACCTTCGTGCATTGATGTCCTGAAGCCCTCCCAACTTTCGAGGCCGTGCCTTTCAAGTTTCCTGTCTCCGCAGCTTGAGTGGCCCAAGCACGTCTTACCGCGATGCCTGTGGAGCTCGCGCCGGTGATGGTGGGGACAGAGGCCGCATCCGGCGTGCATGAAGGCCAAAGCTTGCAAGCCACCGTTCAAGCTGGCTGCTGTGAGAAGGGATGCCGTCATGAATCGCTCACAGGCCGTGAAAGCATAGATCCTGACGAGGAGGCTCAGGCAGGCTTCGGAACATCACGAGGAACACGAGAGATCATGGAGTGCAACCCGGCGCAAGCACAGATTGAGCATGCAACAGGTTGAGAAGCAGCTTCTGGCGAAGGCTGTGGAAAGAAGATCACGTAGGTAAGTCGCAGAAGCCGGAGTCAGCCAGAGTCAGTGCCTTTGCACACGATCCGGGCCGGAAGAGGACGTCTTTTGCCGTTGTTGAAGAGCTTGTGTCGGCCACGTTCCCGGAGCCAGGCAAGACAAGTCCCATTGCAGCCCGACTACTTCACTGGTGGACCCGACGCACCAGCAACTTGTCATGTGCCGCGCTACATCTACTGTCGGTCTCTGCATAATGGCGTTGTAGATTGCATTGGTTCGCATCGCAATGGGTCTCACGCATCTAGCCGGCCCTTCCGGTTTTCCAGATGATTGGACAAGATACGAGTTTCATGCAAGATCACCGACCACAGGATGCGCTCTCGATGCCACTCGATGCTCAACCCAAGGCAAAAATCGGAAGAATTCGCTTGCTCCGGTGTTTCGGCCGAACAGCGTACATTGGGCCACATTGGCCTTGCATCTCAGCTGTATGGTTGAACACTGGTGGGATTCTCACACATTTCCACAGCCTAGCGAGCATAACACGATCGCCGAGGTTCCATTATTATGCTGGCAGCTCCTCAGCTGCAGTTCACACCTGGACACGGCTTCGTGAGCAGAGTCAGCTGAAAGCTTGAGGTTTTGGTGTTGTTATTATTATTACTACTATCATTAAAATATCATTATTATCATTAGTTATTGTAGAAGAGCCTGGCCTGAAGGTCATTTTGGGCATCGGCAGCTCCTTTGTCATGTGCTCTCAGCGTGGGCAAATTGGTTGTCAAAGTGATTGCCAGTGCCTGGGAGGTACCATACAGCAAGAGCCAGCTTGTCTTCAGCTCAGCTTCATCATTGATCTTGATTGTCGTGAGCTGCTGGCAAGAGGTCGCGGGAAAGCTACATAGGTTGTGTTGGTCTAGACTCCTCCGTTGTCCGAAAGAGCCAGTCCTTAGAGTCGTTTCCTGGTTCCTGGTGGTGCATTGTCAGTCGAGACCCGCTTCCAACCTTTTTGGTACCAGGTTGCTTTGCATGCTTCTGAAATGAACATGTGGAGTTCTGCCCCGATAAGCGCAGTCCGCCAGCCGGAGCTTGTGCCGAGGCTACACTCTAGTCTCGGCGTTCTGGCAACCGTTAGCTCCGCAATCTCATTTTTATGCTGTGCTGTTTCGAACCTTGGCTGAATGATTTGCTCGCACAGCCATGTCCTGGGCAGGCTTCAATGTGCCACTGCTATTGAACGCATACCCACATTGAAGCTAACTACTTAGTCTCGAGCGTCGTCTATCCGAAGCACAGGAGCCCTGGTATTCTGCAGCCGCGGCCCGGGAGCAAGGGAGGTGGGGGAGATGAGGTAGCAGTGGGGATTCTCACGTTGACTTGCTCTGCCAGGTCCAGGAGAGCCAGAGCAGTACTTCGCTTCAAACGGGAAGAGGCACTGCACAGTGGCTCGGGCTGCTTTCGCAACTTGCCTTTCTCCTCGAATCGCCGGCAGCCAAGGCGTGTAACATCAAGCAGCCAGTCGGTACTCTTCACTGTGATTACTGCCATGTTTGCACTGGCCTCAAGTAAGCCCTTGTACCAAGAGCTTCCTCCGCTTGGTTGCTGGAAGCGCTGGTGCATGTGTCCACATGCGAGGTATTGTCGGCTGGGACCATCACTGTCCATGGATGAACAAGTGTATCGGCCGACTTCTCAGAATCCGACTAACTAGTGAGGAGAGCCTTGCAGAATGTAGTTTCAGAGTTCGGTCTGGACCCAAGGAGAAAGCAACCTCTTCTTCTTCAACTCCTTTCTTGGCATCAGCATGACCTCTTTAGGATACATCGTCCTCGCTACGATGTTGATTTCCTAGCTTTGGGTTTGAGGAGCGCGCCGCCCTCGACTCAAGTAGCTCAAGCGGATCCAAAAAGGTGTCCAGCTTGAGCCTTTGTTTCTGGATAGTCGCAGGGAGATTTGCCAGGCTTGCCCTGCTTGGCTTCGCCCCAGGAGGAAACAACATACTCGTACTGCCGCTGCCTGAACGGCTGAGCTCCAGGCAGACGTTAGGTTTAGAGATGCCGTGTCCCGAAGTCCCGGACAAAAAAGGGGGGCGACTGCATTGGGACACGTCGAAGTCGAAGGACGAAAAGATATCTCTGTCAGCAAGGTTGGGAAGTTGGCTCCGCGGCTGTCAGTCTTCCTTCTCTGACTACCAAGCCTTTGGAACTGTGGAGGCCGTGGGAACCTGGGTAGATTAGACTCATGACATGGTATTCTACGCCGTGCCAGTGCGTTTTGCTTGGTCACAGAGCTCCGGCAAGAAGAGGTGGCCTATCCGTTGAAGAATACCACAGTCACACCAGCACAGCAAGCGCCACGAATTCCGGGAATGGATCCCATTTTCCTGGCTTGAATCCTGCGACCTTGAAACAGGAGGGGTGGCGCTAGTTGGCTGGCGCTGTAGGCTCTTGGCGCTTTTCGTGGATTCCCTCAGAGTCAGGCAATCGCAGCTGCGATGCGAAGACACAGTGCCAATGCGCGCTTGCAAGAGGCAGCCTGCCTGCATGCAGCACTTGTTCTCAGATGTGGCAGGCAGGGGTGGGTTTCCACTGATACAGAGCCGACCCTCTCCAATCCCAAGGCATGTGCAGATGTCTGTTAGAAACCGCTTGAAACGGACCCAAGGCGGCCGCCTCGGCCCTGAGTTCCGCTGCGTCCTGGCCAGCCATCCAAGCAGTCGATGCCTGAGAGGAGGGATGCGAAACTTCCGAGTCCCACCTCGGAACTTCTCATGCTTGACGGGATTGACGGGATTTGACAGGGTTGTGGAGTTTGGAGCTTTGTATCCATTCGTTGGATCGTTCCCACACGCCAGCGTCAACAGCGACCGCAGCTGGACATAACTTCAAACCAGGCGGCAACCAACAACGGTGCCGCGGAGGAGATTGTCTCCGCTGATGGCCTAGCTCACGCGAGAGAAATCCTGGGCTGAAGTTTCGTAAGCAGCTTGTGCTGTGTTTGGGTCACGACAGTTCGAAGTTCGAAGTTGGATGTGAAGAGCATACCTTCCGGTGTGCCATGGTTTCCTAGTAATCCTAGAGAGCTCACTTTGGAGCTCCTTTGGTTGCGCTCCGTTTTGGCGAATCTGAGGCGATGCGGCGATTCCCCACCGACCCGGAGTTCCGGTCCCAGGGCCATGTCATCATCGCTTCAGATGCATGGGTGGAGCTGTTGTATTGTTGGGATGTGCCACGCAACTGCCGCTATGCTAGTACTTTGAGGAGTTGCTATGGAAACATGCCGAGGGCGAACAGACTGCGTGATTGACCAAGTCTTCTGGGGCAGTCCTTTTGTGCGGCTCGAATCCAATGCGAGCTCAGCTTACTTTTTGCGGGCTCTACGCGTTTCGCGCAGAGGCCTGCTTTGATTCATCCGGTAAGCGATTTATTCACGCAACCTTATACTAGGACGCTGCCATGCTGCAGCGTGACCTCGAGCCGGCAGTGTGTTCTGCCGGCTGTTCCATATTCATTCCCGGATCGCGCAGATGCCGCAATCCGGGACGTTTTAGCAATTGCAGACAAGCTTGGGTTGAAAATGGCCAGAAGCAAGGCCGTGCCTTGAAAGCGCTTTTCCACAGGTGCTTGCTGCTCTGCTGGCTTGCTGATGGAGCTCTGAAGGCGGCAGCTGTGGGACACGGCGAGACCGAGGCAGAGCCCGCGCGCACACGCTCACTGCTGAGTCTCCATCATCTCACATCGAAGCGACAGATGCCAAGCGACAGAACTGACCTTTCGAGCGCAGCAGGGACCCGCCTTGCAGTCAGCGAATCCAAGCTGTGCGCTTTGGGAGATGAAGCTCAGCTTCTCGACTCGTACGCAAGAGCTGACTGCAATATGTCTGCTGCGCCTGCGGCAGCGAAGGCGCGAATTTTTTGTCTCCCCCAAACCCGAGACTTGATCGCAGGGCCTATAAAACTTTCCAACTCGAAGGAAGAACTTTAACCTGTATGCGGCGACTTCGTAGCCAACACTGTATTCTACCATTGAACAAGAGGCTGTGCGGATGCAGCCGAAGTCCCGCGAGGGGCATATCACTATAGACCTGGAGCGATCGGAGCAGGAGATCCATGTCCTGGAAGATGCCATCCATTACAAGAGCAACCTGGCGAAGACGTCGTCTCGCATTCTGTATTGATGTGTGTGTGTGTGTGGGGTTATGTGTGGTTATTTGGTTGGCGCATTCTTTTTGCATCTTTAGACATGGCACTTCAACCGAGGCGCCTATTACGGCACGATAATGGTGGGTACACCGCCCAAGCCCTTCACGGTGGTCTTCGATACGGGAAGCGGACACCTGATCTTGCCGAGCTCATATTGTCATTCCAGCACATGCAACTCAGTTTCCTAAAGCATGTGTTCTTTCCTTTTTCAGTTTCGGAGTCACCGATGCATTGCAAAAGTGGCACTGCCTCTCCTGCATGCATAACTTAGTAAACTGTTTCAGGCAAAGCTCACAGACGCTACAGACGGAGCTCTTCTGCCACAGCACGTGACACATTTCTTCGGAGTTGGAAATCATTTTTCATTCTTGCGAGTCTAAGTCTAAGGCCTATAAGGACTAACTACAGCACTACTGCTAGCACCGATTGCAGCAACCCTTGCTAGCAGGATGAGGCCAGCCCCTGCATACATGAAATTCAAGTGTCGATAACGTAAGGACATAGACTGGGACGGGCGCCTCGTCCAGATGGGCGAAGCCAGGGATCAGATCACCGTGTCCTTCGGTACCGGAGAAGTAATGGGCGTCTTTCTGGAAGACTTGCTTTGCTTGGGCCGTGTCGGTGAGGGCCATGGAGAAGGCCAAGAGAATTGCCTGCAAATGCGGTTTATTGCTGCCACTGACATGTCTGCAGACCCGTTTGCAGAGTTTGTTTTTGATGGCGTCTTGGGCCTCGGCTTGGAGAGCCTGTCGCAATCACCGGCCTTCAACTTCCTGCATGCGCTGCACGTTGCGTCTGCTATGACAGCTGAGAAGGGCAGCTTCAGCAAGACTTTCGGAATCTTCCTGGCGAGTCATGATGGGGAAACCAGCCAGATCACCCTGGGTGGCTGGGCTGAAGAACATGTGAGTGGGGAGGTATCTTGGAGCCCCGTCCTTCAGCCAGAGTTGGGGCGTTGGCTTTTGGAAATCAAAGGTTTGTGGGTGGATGACCAGGAGGTGCCTTTCTGCAAGGAAGGCTGCAAAGCCGTCGTCGATTCTGGCACCTCAGTTCTGTCTGTGCCCAGCCCTTTGTTCAGCGACCTCTTCCAAAAGCTGTCTGCTCCGGCCCGAGACGGTAGCTGCTCTGAAGGTCCGCAGCTTCAGATGGAATTGGATGGTTCGAGTTTGAACCTGAGCGTTGGCGATTTTAGCCGCCTGGACAAAGAGTCATCGCCCTCAGCTCAAGCCACCTGCAGGCCCATGTTAATGGTCATGGACTTGCCAGAGCCTTTGGGACCCAAGCTTTTCGTCCTGGGGGAGCCCATCCTGAAAAAGTTCTACACCATCTACGATGCGGAGACCCGACGTGTCGGATTTGGCCGAGCTCGTCACGCGCAAAGCCCTCAGACGCCTCATCCTCCGTCCAAGGGACGGTCCAGAGGGGAAGCCAAGCCGGCACCTTTGGAAAGAAGGGGCGCGTCTGTCGTAAGGCCCGCAAGCAGGCGATCTAGGTCTCTCTAGCCTCTAGAGAGACTTCGACCACAAGTATAGTAGTTGTAGGCGTAGATGTTAATTAGCACATGGAGCACGCGGCCTCAACAGTAAGGATGTTTGCGAGCTCTGCATACAAGAAAAGCCTCGTGCGGTGAGCAGCAGGGGCGTCTGATGCCTTCGGACTCTTCAGCGCCTGCCTTGAACAATTGAATCCATGGCCTCGAAGCAAGCGAGCACTCACCCGCTATTTCGTTTGACCAAGGCTCCTGGCGGCAGCATGCAGTGGTTTAGCAGGTGCGCTCAAATGTAACAGTGAGGAAATCAGGAGAGCGCTGCTGCTGACAAGTCTCGAGCTTCGAGGTGTTGGGGCCGCAGTGATTTATGATCATTCACCACATATCCTTGAGAACTCCACGCAGGTCTGGCTGCAAATCATCCTCTGAACCAGCCCGGCTCTCAAGGAGTTGATCACTAGACCCAAGCCGTTTGCACCGTCTCATCCTTGAGTCGCTTAAGCCCGCCGCAGCGTCTGCGAATTATCCAAGCCCAGGTCTGCCCTTCTCGGCTGTCGCTCCATTGAGGCCAAGACCAGTTCTGTGTTCTTCGGGCCTTGCGGCCACTCACTCTCTATTTCCCCTTCTCGTGGAAGGCGATCGTATCTGCCATGGACGCTTTCGTGCACCATGATGCGAACTCAGAGTCAGTTTTTTGCCGCTAGTGGGTTCGCGCAGCACACATCGCGAGGCTCGCTGTCGCCAGTAGTAGCTCGCAGTGCCAGGGCCGTCGGACGTAGCCTTGCGAAGCCGAGGCTCGGCTGCAGACCATGGCCTGCGGAGCCCTTGGAAACCTCGCGGCAAACAGCCCGAACAACCAGGTGGGCAGCAGAAAGAGCAACGAAGCAGTTCACTGCGAGGAAGCCAAACAGTGCACTTGCAATCTGGTGGCGCGCTCCTGGGTTGAAACGTCGGAGGAACAGACACATTTGGGCTGTCTCACTCTGTAAACGGTAGTCTTCCTGATGACAGGCTGCCATTGCTTCCCGAGGAGGTTTGCAGAGGGTCTGACCCTCGAGACGTGGGAGCAGTCGCTGGGTCGAAAAGGTTGGGAGCTGCCTCCAACCTGCTGTCACCATTCCTATTTTGTCAGCAATGCTGAGGTGGTAAATGTGTTGAAACACCATCACTCGAATCCGGTTGTTTGGGGCTCAGATGTTGCCGTGTCATGCGTGTACCAAGCAGCACTGCCCTCACAACTTGCATCTTGACATGCTGTTTGTTGTGTGAATGTGCCGTTTCCACGCAATCAGTCCATTCTACACATGACGCACGAGCTGTGCATTCACGTCTTGCGGCCTTTAAACAAACCTTGTCTTGCAAAATCGGTTTTGTCCAGGTTCTGGCAGCGTCACTTGGGGTCGTGAGCTTATGGGCAGATCCGTTTCTTTCTTGGGGGAGCAACATACACGTGAACGGCCGCCAGCACGGCCATGTGGATAAGATGTGACGATATGAAAGGAGGGATGGCCGCTCCCCATTCCCCAGAAAAACGTCATCGTAGCTGTAGCAATAGTCAGTACCAGTAGGAGCAGGAGTAGGAGTACAGTAGTCGTAGTAATCGTCGTATACAGAAGCTGGCAGTGATACTTCTGGATTCGGACCGGAGGATCCTGCTGGATGCTGCAACCAGACGCGAAGGCATGCATTACAAATTACACTCGTTGTCGCCTTGGGGCGGATGAGAACCGTCAGCTAGCATGAGCCGCGTTGCGTCCATGCTAGGAAGTCAAAGCTGAGGCTGTTTGGTGCCTGATGAAGCACCACCTTGCCAATACAGAATTGGCTGCGCAACTAGGACCACCCGAGCTCTTGCGCTTTGCCTCTGCTCACCGGCTGCTCCGCTGTCTGCCTCAAGATCTCGGAAGGAGTGGCAGAACTTTCAGCTGCAGCGCTGCAGAGCCTCGGATGCATCACGTCTGCGAGAGTGATTAGTGCTCCGGCCCACGTTTTTCCTACGGATATCTCGGAGTCTTCACCATGCTGACGCATGGGCACTTCAATTGCTCAGGCGCCACCCGGAAGAGCGAGGAGTGCGCAGCATGGCGTGCAGGAGCCCAGATGGCCGCCACAATCTCCACTATATACATTTAAAAAACGTAAACGAAGGAACGGTACTGGGTGCACAAACACTCGACTAGACTGAGTAGAGCTGTGGCGCCTTCTGGCATAATTTACAAACAAGACTTCCTGTCTGTCCGTTACAAAAAGGTGAAGATGGGCGCAAAGTCAGTGCAAGCAACACAACACCAGGCCGGTGAGCAAGGTCGCGGATCTGGTGCGCTTCACTGTTCAACGCACATGAACTGCCTACCAGACATGAACCACTATGGGTAAAGCTTCAAGCTTGAATCGCCTTGACCGAGAAACACTGAGAAACACCCTTTGATGAAGTTGTCAATTGTGATCTTCAGCTGCTGTGCAGTAGTCAGGTTTCACATCAGTCTTCAGCTTGGACTAGCTGGGAGGAGGTGGAGTTTCGCGTGTTCTAGTACCGAAACATACGATCCTTCCAAGATTCCACGTGTTCACAATCGGCACGTGAGACCTCGGTGTGCGTCTCTGTGTATGTGATTTGTCACCGATTCTTCGACTTTTGTGGGTTTCTGTTTCTCTTTCTCGACAGCTGGCCGGACAGTTATCATTCTTCGTTCCGTACCTGAGGAACAGCTAATTAGATGATGGACGTATGTGTGCGAAAGTGCTGTAGTGCCACTGTAGCTGTACTCCCTGTTTTTGCGTAGGAGTACAGGCTCATCTGGCTCAGTCGTCCTAGTTGTCAGAGCGTAGTAGGGACTTGACTCCCAGCTTGAGCCTATTGTCTACAGGAGGCCATCAGGCGTTACGGTTATAACGTTTAACAGTCCTTTGAGGCAGGAAGTAGGCAGCTAAAGGATCGAGCAAAGCCGCAGTGCCTACCTGGGCTTGAAGCGCGACATGGCCCTGCATCCACGGCCACTACAGAATATCTCGAAGCTTGCAGAACTGGGGCGGTATGGATTCCGTTTAAACGGGCAGGTACAGCTGTTGCAGTTCTCTGTCTCTCGTTCCTCAGATGTGCAGCATCCAGATCACTACATGAGAGTGGAGAGTAAGGTGCGGAGGCGTGCCGTGAACTCCCTATAGCTTTTGAGCTGAGGTCCTGTGTCTTGCAGTCGCTGGTTCCAGGATTGTCGGAGGCTCCACCCATTCTCGCATGCTGAATGTTGATGTAGAAAGTGCTTGCCCGAGTTCGAAGCCGCATGCCAATGCACTATCGTGGGCTGATTCACATCCAACTGCTTCCAACTCACTTCCATACAGCTGCCAGGCCCTCGCCGTGTCAAGCTCAGATGTACTGCGACACAGCATGTCAGCGACAGTTGAGTCTTGCAGCATATGCGGAAACGATCCAATGCAGAGCCCGACGGGCGTAACGTCACTTCGCCTGGCTTGCTCGCCAGCAACTTTGAGCCCCTTGTCCCACCACGATGGCTGCGCGGACGAAGACTACATGTACTCGTAGCTGTTAGCTGTAGGATTTTAGGATGCTTGAGCGCCGATGATAGGTCCCACCTGCAGCAGCCCAACCTCACGAACGTAGCCAAAAAGCACCATGCTTTATGGCTTTATGGCATAAACTCTGGACCGTCGTGGTGTGCATTCATGGATTCCGCGTCCAGTGCCCCAGCGCGGCTTTCAGACGGCAGCCATGATGCACTCCAGCTGCTTGGCTTGGTGCCATTTGGTGCCCTCTGCAACGTTCAGCCGGATTGAGGTGTTTCGAGAGTTTGCTGAACTGTATCATACTGTATCTTTCGTGGGTGTTGCTGCCTTTGCAGGAGGTCCTCGGTTGTTGCCATACCACGCGACTGTCGTGGTTTGCTCGCCCAGGAAACTGCAGCAAGATGTGGAGAGAATACTGCACGAGAGCCGCTCAGTTGAAGCATCATTGCCTTCGGCACTGTGCCGGTGGCCGGCACAAGTGCAAAACTTGACCGGCGCTGCCTTCTTCCCAGTTCTTTGAGACGTGGCCCATGACCTATAGGCAAGCGCGATCTCCTGCGCAGTTGCTTGGCAAGCCGATATTTCTGCACAGACAACACAGCAGGCAACTTTTCTCGATTGTCAGACTGACCAGATGTGGACAATGTCAGATGCATGTCAAATATATCCACCCAACGTGAGGACACGTGCCAGTTGCTTGCAAAGCATTGAAATGTTCCGGGAAGCACCTGAACGAAAGAGACGCATCAGTTGTCATTATACCGCTAGCCAACATCCCGCATGTAGCAAGAACAGGTGCAACTTGTCATGCCGCAGAGCATCTTAGTAACAGAACTTCCCTGGATTCAGGTTTAGACTACTACACGCAGTCAGCCCGCATTATCAATGCCACCTGCAGCCCCGGACTTAGCCGAGTGCGACGGCCCAGAGCGGGAGCATTAGCTTAGACTCCGGGCGACTTTAGCCTTGAGGTGCGTCAATGGCATCAGTCCCCATGCCTCCGAGCGTGTTCGAGCAGCCGGACCCACCCTCTTGCCTACCACCGGTTTCTGGAGCGATGGAGGACTTGAGAGTGCCGATGCGACCCAGAGCGTAGATTCTCGAGGCATTCCGATTCCACTCGCTAGGCAAGGACGGAGTCCAGGCCCAGGTGTGATTTTTGCTGGCAACAGGAATCTGATGCTGTCCAACATCCAACAACCAGCCGATGGCAGTTTATTGCAACAAGCAAGTCCCATCAAAGCTCTGGGGCATTGAAGAGGATCACATGGCCACCAGCGATCCATCGATTTATTTGTCCGCCGACTTCGCGCCAGACAAGTTGGGAGGAGCCCAGGTTGTGTAACAGCTCAGAGCCAGCCATGGGGACACCATGTGGGTAGTTCTCTAAATTAGGGTCCGTTTGGGGGGTCCTTTATAAGGGTGCCGTACTACATTGGGGACCCAGAAAGGGGCCCTAATTTAGAGAACTACCCATGTCTGATTCCTTGAGATGGGCTGAGCGACACCTGCAAAGACTTCGTCCGAGCCATCTTGTGTTGTGGCGCTGTTTTTCCTTGTTCGCAGGACCCCATGTGTCGAATAATGATCAGCCCGTACAGAAAATGTCTTCCAGGCAGAGGCTGGCCACGATGGACTTGAGCCCTGCACTCTGATCAATCCAGAATCGTGGAAGCTACAATGATGTGTAGACGTCGCTTGTTCAAGTGCAAGTGTGTTCGCTCTCTCAATACGTTTTTGTTTTCCAAACCCAACTGTCAGGCGCCACATGCGCTGGAAGAACGCAGAAGTAAACAGCAATTTTATGTGACTTGGCAGTGCGCATCAGTGAGTACCTTCCCCCCAACGTGACAGTTCGGTTCTTGACACGAAGTAAAGCGCATTGAAGCCGTGGGCTGCAACAAGCCACCTGCCCACATTCAGGGACAGCCGTTCGCAGACACACGCCAGCCGACTCTCACGCTAAGCTACCAGAAATTGAGCGCCCATTGCTCATAGCTGCCTGTAGGTCAAAATCGCAGATCGGCAAGATCATGTCTGAGGCAAGGGCACATCTTCTGGTCTCCAGCACGTCTAATTTTCAGCTCGGCCAACCACTGTAGACTTCTGTTTCGCATTGAGTTTTCCTCTGACTCCGCATATGTCGAAGTGAAGCGAGCAGCAGTGGCAGCAGCTCGTCGGCCAGGCAAGTTGGTCAGAGCGCATGGTGAGGAGTAAGTGCTTCGCTGCTGGGCCATACTGTTCTGAAGCACAACGAATGCCCGAAGGCTTCAGCTCGCTCAGTTCGAACATGAGATGACTCAGGAGTGGTTCAGTGGCTCCTTGATCCTGCTCAACTGCATATTTATTGGATGGCATACACAGATGATGGCTTCGCGGGCTATTGAGCACACGAGTCAGAACATGGATCCACATGTGAAGCTTGCCCCGGAGAAAGGTCATGACTTCGTTTCTACTAGCGATATTCCGAAATGTTGTAATCATGGATAGCAAGCTTAGAAGCAGGTCAGATCAGGTCAGCAGGCAGTTTCAGGATCTGGAGCACCGAGCAGACATTCCGGCTCGTTGCTGTTGGCATGCTTGGTCTAGACTAGAGACAAATGTGTTCAGCCAATTCTTGGGCCCCAGGAAAAGAAGACAGATTATATTGTAAGCAGAATGATATACCTTCCCGGAATTTCCCGGACACTCTGAATACAATGTTTATCAAACAAATGCGAAGACAGTGTGACACCTTTATGACATTATGACAGTACTATGACAGTGCGAGTCTAACAACTGGACACCACAGGCATTTAGCTTTTCCATGGTTTCCAGATGATTAGCTGCAGAAGATGGGGCAAGATGTGGAGTCTGTTCAGACGCGAGGGTTTGGCATGAGCCAAAGCTCACTTTCCACGATGGGCCTGACCTCCAACCACCCTAGCCCAGAACTTGCTTAAACTCTTCGACGTTGCATCCCGGATGCCTGAGGAACACTTCGGCCGAGGTATTGATCATGCAGGTAGGACCGGAGCTCTAGGACTCTAAGTCCAAAGTCGAGCATGTGACGGGGTTCCGGAGCGAGCCAAGACATGGAGCATGGCCTGCAAGGTTGGCTTCACCGGGTGCTTCCTGGTGGAGCTCTTAGTGCGATGGGCAGCTGAAGGTGTCATCGATTTCTTCAGGTCAGCAGACCTGGTGTGGACTCGTGGCAAACCAAGTGTTGATGACGTGAGTAATCATATGTAATTATGTCGCGTATTATATAATATAGGCCGTTGGTCTCGAATCTAGTTCCTAGGTCCCGGATGTTCCGTGGAGGACAAAAGACCTAGTCGCGAACTGTGTCCGCTCCCAGGAATGTACTGGACGTCATTTGCGTCCTCATTGGTGTGGTGGATGCTTCAGCTGAGATTGTCATGCTTGCGACAGGGCTCGAGGAACAGACTCCTCTTCGGGGCTTTACCGTGATGAGGGTGCTGAGGGTGGTGCGAATCGTGCGTGTGGTCCGCGCAACTTGCTTCAATAGTCGTGTTCTTGTTTGTTTCTGTTCTGCCTCCCGGACCGATGGAGCCATAATAATTGCATGCCGCCCAAGAGTGGCGTGAAAAGCTTTTCGGGGTTCAGATGTTACCGGCTTCGTGAATCCCACACCCACCGGACGGGCGTAACACTCCTCGAGCCGTTCAGTCGTTTGCCTGTCGGCGTAGACCGATGGTTCGAACGCCTGCTCAAAGGCCCTTAACATCCAAAGCGCTAGTACCAATGTCCGTGCCAACTTCGTTGCTACCCATTAGCTGATCAGTGTTTCTTGCACTGAAGGCGATCATTTATCAGCTAGTCTGCAGCTCACCCCACAGGGAACATGAGACAAGTTGTGACGAAACAAGGTGATCCGGATTATGCGATTCTTCCGTGAGCTCCGCATGATGATCTTCAGCACGGTGAACTGCTTGAAATCCGTCGTTTGGATCATTCTGTTTCTATTCGGCTTGTTCTACATGTTTGGTGTTGCCTTCACGCAAGCAGTTACAAGCTATCTCGACAGCCTTGAGATGAGAAAGCTGTCCGAGTACTCTTCCTTGCAGCTGTACTTCGGCACTTTGGACAGCTCTATATTGGCTTTGTACATGGCAATGTCCGGGGGACAGAACTGGCACGTCTACTACGACTCGCTGGCCACCATGAGCGGTGGGGAGTTCTGGTGCTTGCTCTACATTCTGTACATTACCTTTGCATTATTCGCGGTAGCAACCTGTCTTCGATAACACACAGCGGTGTCTCAGGAACACGTCGAATGCCTGACTTTGCCTGCTATGTGCTGTCCCAGCGGTTCCATCTGTTCCATCCAAGGTCAACATTGTCACCGGAGTGTTTGTAGACACCGCCCTCCAGTCGAGCAAAAACGATCGAGAAGTGGTAGTGCAGGAAGAGCTGGAGCAAAAGCAGGCTTCCTGGTCAAACAACTTGGTGTTGGGACATATTTTCTGATTGGTGCTCTGTTGGATGGAAATTTCAACAAGGGCGCAAGACGTGATTGCTTGTTAGCATGCTACACATGTCCGTTCGGCATTGTGCAAACCTGTGGCATTTGTCAGACATGCAGCGGCGCTGCAAGAGGACTGCAAAGATTGTACCTGTACAAGCATCCGAGGATTACTTGAAGCAGCTTCATCAGCTGTTCCAGGCTATCGACGAGAACTCCGAGGGTCGCATCACTCGCGAGGCAGGTCTATGGGCACACGCACTGGTGGGTGCGGAGGCATTGTATCAGACAGTGTGGTATTTTATCTATCTCACAGCTGCGTCGCTTGACGAGATCAAATTGAAGTAATCCCTGCCAGGTCTTGCAGCAAGCTTTCAAGCATGACTCCAGGCTTCAAGTAAAAAAGAGTGCTTGCACAGTCTCATTCCTGATTTTCCTCCAGTGCTGGTGGCGTTGCCGAAGCTAAGGAGACCATCCTTGCATACTTCTCCCATCTGAAGATAGATGTCCCAGATGCCGCTCGACAATGATGAGTAAACAGCGCGTAGGGGGCTAGCGCGAGATTGGTGAGGATGAAAAGCCAACGGCATAGGAAATGCATCGTCGCCTGTACTTGTCGTATAATCCAGCCTGCACCCTCGGAAAGTTCGTTGGCTTTTGCATGCCAGTTAAGAACTAATGCGTTCGAAACAGACAGAGAAATTGAGCATGTGTGTCACAGATTTATTCTCCAAGGCGGCCACGCTTTTCGAACTCTTGGACTTCGATCAGTCCGGCACGATCGACTTGGAGGACACCTTTGGGTCTGTGGTCACACTGTTCCTGCAGCAAAGGCTAGCACTGCTAGCCTTTGCTGCAGGAACCGGCTAGCACACGGAAACATATCCAACTGCTAAGGAGTTTCTTCATGGTTGCTACCAGCTCCATGGTGAGGCAACACACCTGGAAGCTAAGATGATGCAAGCAGAAGTGAGGCCAGCAGTCTGAGTTGTGTCGATGCAGAGGTCCAGATGCAATTTGTTGCCTGTGACTCGCTGGTGAGGTTTATGAAGGAAAACTTGATCAAGCTTGTCGATGACATGCAGAAAGTACAGGCACAGCTGAAATTTCTGAAGCGATTGCCTTAGACGCCCACAAGAGTGGCTCGGATGTTGTTGTTTAAATGTCTTTTACATTTGGCTGGAATGCCCAGCGCTTTTCAACACGCCCATGCTCAGCGTGGAAGGGCACACAGTTTATGGTGGGTACCGCATTTACTCGGCCTGATGTCCGAGGAGCGGGGGGCGTGCCGAAATTCGCCAGCAAGTGTTTTGAAGGTGAAGTGCGAATAAGTGCGACCAAGACCTGGGATAAAGCATCCAAGCACTTATGTTAGGAAAAGCGCTTTGCTGCCAACTGCTACCGCTTCACCGAGTAGCTTTCGCCCGATCTGGTAATCAGTTCGAGGGTAATTATGAATGGCTGAATGTTGCACAGGCGACATCAGGGCCAGCGCAAGCTGCGTGCTAGGTTGCTATAGGTGTGCACGGGGGGCTGGCCTTGCCAAGCTGCCGAACCCGGCGCCCGATGCACCTCTCTCGCCATCTTTGCACGAGAGAGATTCAAGGACGAGCAAACATGCGATTCACGGAAGATGACACGAGCTCCGGCTCAACTATGTATGACAGCAAACCGAAGCTGGGAGCAGTTGTCGCCTCCATTGCGGCCGGAAACTGACCAGCTTGCGTGCGCCAAGGTTGCAGGCAGCGGCACCCGGAGAGCCTGGTGCGCACCTGGGAATTTCCCTAGCAGTTAAACCCTAAAGCCTTGGAGCCTTGCCTGCCTTGTGCGACTGTGAGAGTCGAAACCCTCACGCCTGGCATTGAGATCTGAATGTCTTGGACATGTCTGCAGTGGCTGCTGTGTCTGTGTTGTGGGATGGTTTCCACCCTGCCGCCACTTCAGCACGGCATAGCAGGAACTGGACGAAAGCAGGTCAAGCCTTCTTGAGTTCCCTCGCCAGGACTGAGGACACGGCAAGTGCGTGAGTCTGGCAGCAAGTGGCCAAAGAGCACGTTTGGTGCAGGGCCCAATGCAACTAGTCAGTCACGTCTATAAGATGAAATGGTGTCTTGATCTTGTCCCTGCGCCGAAGTTTTTTCTTGTGCACGTTGTGACGAATTCACTTTGCTAGTAATCTGCTAGTAGGATAGCTCTGCTGAGCCAGATGCCTCCAGCAACATGACAAGTATACCATGCCTACCACAGCTGCACCTCAAGATGCAAATGATCTCTGTGATTCAGCACCAGATCCACCTCAAACAGCTTCATCACTCGAAATCACCCAAACATGCAAGACTGTTGGAAGTGTCTCCTCGGACAGGTCAGGACGACTTAGCTCGCAAGTCCATTTGTTGACAGGCCACAAGTGTAGGCCATTCACACGTTTACCAAATATGGGTCCCCCCCTCTGTGCTGGATATTTTTTTCCAGTGGCCCCTGGCGTCCCGAAGCGCGGCAAAACTTCCGCAAAACTAAGTCAACTAGCCCAAGTTCATGGCCGCTAAAAATTTAGGGGGACCTAGAGGGCTGAGGGATGGTAGCCTAAAGGCTGTGCCCTTTGTCCGCTTGCATCGATGAGTGCTTGTAGGGGATGCACGCAAGAATTGAAGGGCCACAAGTGTTTAGGGTTTAGGATTCACCAGGTTTAAGGGTTTAGAGTTTAGGGTTTAGGGGTTTATTAGGGCCCGAAACCCGAACATTTCTGCGTGAGTGCTGGAAACCGTCATTTGAGCTCCACCCCCAATCCCTTTCATTCCCCTTCCCAAGGCTCCTTCAGGACTGCAGGGCTTTCAGACGGCAAGATGAAGTGGAAAGAAGCACTGAGCAATGAATACACCCCTGGTGATCCTGATGTTAAATGTTTGTCGTTGATATCGAGTCTATTCCTGATGTCTGTCAACATTGGGGCCATCTTCTCACCCAGATGCTCAAGCCTGGGATGGAGAGACATGTAATCTGCGCTCACAATGCAGTACGAGGCCCAAGCGTACCAAATCCCATGAGCATCTCTCAAGGGATGCTAAGGGCCACGCGCAAAAGACTGGATGATGCCGGTGCCTCCAAGCCTAGCAAGCATCAAGAAGAGTAGGAACTACATTGAGCGTAGGAGGTCCTGCAACTTCCAGCCTGCCCGCCCGAAGGAAAAGAGGACTGTTGTCACATGAGGCTATGCGGGTTTTCAGGCCATACGAGCCTTTGTGGGGCAAGATTTGCTAATTTTATTGTGTGCTGTGTGCTGTTGTTTGCTCGCGGCTGAGAGCGTGAATCTTATGCAAAAAGCCAGATTGTGCAGGCATGTAATGGCCAAAGCAAGCATGTAAGTTCATTTGCATAAGCGTTCCCCAACTTCATGCACTGCGGATCCGTATTTGCCTACTGCACTGCCTGGGTGGGGCCTAGACTTGCCGTAGGTTTGATGAGATTCACACGCAAGATTTCGGCAAATAGGAACCCGGACCCCCCAAAACATTGACCCCAAGCTTGAAGAAACCATTGCAATCCCCCCTGGACAGCTGGGCCATGACGCTGCTTGAGGTTGCACCAGATGCGAGGTGAGCCCTCTCTGATCTCACAGGAAGCCTATTAAGTCAAGAGTGGCTGTTGTAGGCTCGGTTGACTTCGGTCTGTTGAGTGCATATGCTCGGACCAACACGAGATACTTGCCGCCACAGCAACCAACAAATTAAGGTCGGCGAGACTGGTCCAAATCCGCGCTTTGCTGGTGGCCCGTGGTCTGTGCCACATGAACAGAACTTTGGGGTTGGATTCATGAGACGGCAACGGCAAGTTCTGATTTGCTACTGTATCTTGTGCAAGCCTTTTTCCGCCTGTGGAATGCGAGCATCGCATTTCAAACGTTGGTTGCGCACCACTGAATCTTCCTGAACCCGCATGCCAGGATGCATTGGCCACAGATCACTGCAATGCCTGCATGGGCAAGGGGCGCGTGTCCTAGATGTAGCAGCATTGGATGTAGCAAGTGACCGGTACTGTACTACGCAACAGCCTGGCAATCGTCTCCGGGGCGTTTGCTCAGACTCGCTTGCGTTGTTTTTAGCGCTCCTCGTTCTTGAGATTCTTTTTTATGGCGAGCAGGGATCGTGCGGCCTACCACTCTTATCCGCATGTTTTTGCCACTTTTTGGTTCAGAGATGCGAGAAGACTCCGTCGTTTCTGAGGCCTGCGCCCGACTTCTCGGCAGTTCCGGGGATCTTGAAGGAGGCTGTGCCGCTCACAAAGGTGCATAGTGCAGGATGAACCGTTTGAAACCCCAAGTCGTTCCAGAGGTCACTGACATGTACGACCAGCTGTCACTACCGGAGCGCCGCTCTGGCAGCAAATCGGGCGACTACAACTTACAACTCGCTAGGCCACCGGGCTGAGCTGCTGACGACCGGCTGAACCCAGACTTGGAAACGCGTTCGTTCAGCTGCCCAAGTTGATGTGGCGTGATGCCTTGCACACCCACGGGACTGCAACGCTGTTCAGGTCTGAAGGCTGACATGATGGTTGGCTGTGGCTGGGTCCTTACAAATGGGGATGTGCGAGGCTCGGGGGCGAAGCTTGTTCTCTTTATCAGGGCGGCCAGGCGTCGTTGACATCTCTTGTGCTTTGGGGTGCTGTTGTGAGCGAGGGATGGAGGGAGGCATGGTCGAAAGGTGTCGAAGGAGAACAAGACAGGCCTGGCTCGTTGCCCAACACTCATAATTAAGCAAGCATGCCGTGCTTTCCTACGTCTTGTTCATGACCCAAGGCAGGCTATCACCGCCTTAGAAAAGCAGCAGTTCTGTGACGGCGCACAAGCCCCGTGAAGACATCAGCGGAGCGCACTATCAAAGCACGGAGCGTTAACAGCTAGCTGAATTTCTTATTCAACCGACGTTGCTAGTTGCTGCTTTCACAAAACACTTCTATGTGGCCTAGGACACAGCACCGTTTGTCAATAGGAGTAAGTGGAGCCGCCCCTCAAATTCTTTTGGATCTGGTCCCGGGGTCGTGTCGTGCTCGATTCTAGAGTGCGGCCTGAAGCAGTCCACCAGTGGCAAAACAAAGGAAATCCCGTTATCGACCTGCAAACCCGAAGCTTCCGAGGCTGGCACATGCTGCACGAGGAAGACAAAGCCTTGGAGCCTTTAATGCGGGTCGTGCGCTCCAGCGCAGGCGTCAAACGGGTAGCAGCTGTGCGCATGGAATGTGTTCTTCTGCAAATTATCCTACCATGACTTTAAGTCCCTGCATGCCCGAATGCATTTGGCATAGTTTAGTATGTATTCCCATCAGCGGGGCGAGGCATGCTTCACGACGCAGGCCTGGAGGTTGGAGACCAGCTGTCTGCCATCCTGGTGGACCTCACCTCAAACAGGGGCGCAGGGGTGCATATTCCGGATCCTGCTTCATGTTCCCCCAGCCCACCCCAGCGATTGGTCAGCGCGGACCTGTGGCCAGCGATAGGACGAGGAGCTAGTTCTGTTCAAGACTTGTCGAGGCCATGCAGCTCCTTCGAAAGAAAAGCCGCTGGGGCCAGATCGTGCAAGCAGGTGGTCATGCAGAGTGCGAGCAGGATTGTTTGACTACCCCCCCCCCCTTGCAGGTGACAAAGCCTTCGAGGTTGCTGGCGGGAAATGGGTGGCTTGCTCGGAGGTTCTGCTTCACGTAATAGCCGCAGTTGCGGGGAAACTTGCTGCCTTTCGGCTCTAGGCCATCTAGCAGTAGAGCAGCTCGAGTCCTGAGTAGAAGGCGACATCTTCTAAGAGGAGCATGATTTGCTCAGCGGAGACGATCGGCATTCTGCTCATGGTTGGCTCTGGTGTGTCTGTGACGTTTGAAATGGTCACCAGTAAAATCATTGAGAATATGCATTGGCCGTACTGGTACCTTCTGGCAGCCTGCTGCACTGGGGCAGCTTTGGCGAACGGGGTGTACCTACGCTGGGCAGGTATCGGTTGCCCGAAGAAGCAAGACATCAAGTGGGTGGTCGCAAGGGCACTGTTCGAGAATTTGCACTGGATGTTAGCCATCTGGGCAGTACTAGTTGGAGCGGCCCCGGGAGATGTGGCAGCGTTGACCAGCATTGACATCATGGCTGCAGCTTTCCTGGGCCTGATATTCCTGGGTGAAAATGTGACCATTCTCCATTTCGTGGCCCTTGTTGTGTCACTTACTGGAGCTGTCTGCATCTCGCAGCCACAGTTCATATTCGGAGCTTCGCAACAGACAGAGCAGTCACCTCTTGGGTACTGCATGGCTTTGCTATCCGGATGTTTCCAAGCCGGTGCTTTTGTTTGTGCAAGGAAGTCGAAAGACATCCCAGTCTCTGTGCTCACAATTGTCTCTCTGTTGTTTGCGGTGATGCTGGCCTTTGTGCCACCACTTTTGGGCCTCAGTTCTTCTGCACACGATGCTCTCCAGACTATCCAGGAGGAACCGTGGCATGCTCTGGGTCTTCTCGCTATTCTGACCATATGGTGCGTGTTCTCGATTGTGCTTCCTGCAGCAGGTGCCACAAGATGTCCAGCTGCCGTCAGCGCGACCGTTTTCACATCCGCGAGTATGATCTCTGGATACGTAGCACAGACAACGATCTTCAACGATGCACCGACGCCACTGAAGCTGCTTGGTGCAGGGTGCATGCTGTCAAGTGTGGTGATGATGGCGGTCCGCTGCCGCGACCGCGACACAGCCGAAGAGCGCGAGGGACCCTGCACGGAAGAGCACAATCCTGCATCGACAGCAGACGAGACAGACAGCCTTGGCTCCTTCGTCGCCTCCGAGGTGTCTTTCGGGAAGTCCGGTCGACTCCGACGCAGAGGCAACGTGTACAGCAATACGCCGACGCCACAGCGGCTCGGATCCTGTCTGCCCATATTTGCCGTATCTTCTGCCTGACTCAGCTCGGCATGTCGAGCCGCAACTGTCTCCCAATATCTGCACAGTTCGACAATGTAAAGGGCCTACATGGGCCAACGTCATAGACTCTGTGGCTCTGCCTGAACATGCAAAAGACCAACCATCACGGAGTGCAGGCCCAGGGTACTGACTTTTCTCAGAGCAGCCTTGGAATGCATGAAGTTAATAGATGTTAATATCATGAAGATGATGGAAAATACTTCCAGAATGAAGAATAAGACAACATTAGCAGATTCTATACATCGAGCTCCTCCTGGTTGGCCTCGTCGCTCGCCTGTGCACTTCTGAGCAGGGTGGATCCTGCACCCTGCATGTCCTCAGTGTCTGCAGGAGCTACGTACCTCAGTCTGGCTTTTACTGTAATAGTTCGCATCAGCACAAGATGCGAGTTTCGAACCTGTCGATTGTCACTTCACAGTAAACCCGGTTTCCAGACGCCTGACTGTGGCCATGGGCGCCCCGGCTGCCCCATCGAATGCCACTGCAACTGCATGCCTCCTGCCGCAGCAACCTGGTTGTGTGTGGCTTGTCGGGCAAGCGACTCTCAGCTCAATTAGATCCAATTAGCCTTCGATGTGCCTGAGTTCTGCCACCCCGCCCCTGCTCCTTGCACATGTCTTGTGTATACTCCCCGAACACAGCCCACGAATGCCCGGTCCCTGTGACAGTTGGTTTGAAGATATAAGTTTAAGCCTCTAAAGCTACACCTCACTGCTCGTATGGTGAGCATGGACGAGACTGTTCGGCCACGACGAAGACCTCATGACGTCATCTAAAACCCGACAACCTTCGTGAGGATGCGGGGCCTGGGTGTCCAAAGTTGTGACAGACAGTCTCGCCACGAAGATGCCAGGATACAGCAGAAACAACTGTAACTATTTACTATTTTGCCTCGCCTGACCTGGTCGAGCGCGAGTGCCAAACAAACTATGATCGCAGCCAGAGTATGCTCGACCGAAGAGAACAGCAATGAAGCCAAGCCCGCTCAGATGTAATTTTGACAAGCGTACCACATGCGTGATGTGGTGGTCGGGAGAAAACCATGCTTGCCACGACCAGCCGCAAAGACCACTTCAGAGGGAGGCGGGGGTTGGGGGGGGATGAGCACATTTGACACAGGATACTCCGGCGTGGCAGAGTTCCACGAGATGCTGAAACCACTACTACCTGCAGGGGTAGCCGCTTGGAGCAGGACGGAATGCAGCCACTGGACTGGGCGGGAGCCGAAACAGATGCACTTGCGTAGAAATGCTGGGACACATGTCATTGGCTTACGTTGGCTCAAGCCGTTGCTGTGAAAGCTTGCAATCGCTGAGGTGTTGATTCCTCGCGACGGGCTGTGCTCACTGGAGGCCCTGCACCGCTACGTCAGGCGGGGCGACCTGGCGAGCTTGTAAGAGGCCATCCCGGTGCCACCAAGCAGGACGATGTCGTGATTAACCACAGCACATCGCGCATGTAGATCGCTGATGTTCGGTAGTTCTTGAAGGTGGGCGCCTGCATGTTTCTTCATCCGCATCGAAGCCGCCCCCAACGTGCGCGAGGCGTGGACTCTCGGTCCTTTCAATGTTCTTTCCAATTACGTACATGTGGCGGGCCGACAGAAACAGAATGTTCATGAGTCACGAGCCCTTCTCGCCGCTGTCTGCGGACACACTTTCTTCAGACTGGGAGGCAAACGGCTGGAGAAACAAATTTGGACCAGAAGACCTGGTTCGGGACGAGCATTGGACAGAGGCCTGATACTGCGTACCGGGGCTCGTTTTGTCGAAGTCTCACTTTTCTGGAAGATTGAATGGCTCCCTTCAGCCACCGTGAGCATGGCTCGCTGCGCAGGTGGGCTTAGATGACTGGGATGGTTGGGATGCTGCAGCTTGGCCTCACTGCGGAATATTGAATGTTGATCGCCGCAGATCTGCCTTGATGCAGGACTGGAGCAAGTTTCAGTGTATCAATTGCTACGCAAGTCGATAGATTCACCATTCACTCAGAGGCGTCCTGTCACAGTCTGCATTGCCGACATCCGGAAGGTGGTGCAGCATGATGGAAATCAACAAACCCTGCTTCGAACTGTTGGGGACTCGGATTCCGTGATGTTTTGCGCCTTCTCGTGCGTACTGGTTCCAACTGTGGAACAATGAGGCAGAGGATTTGGCTCCACGTATCGCGGCGCTTTGCCAGACGCCGGTGTCGTGCAAGCACGACTTTTGTGATAGAGTGCTTAGCTTTGCTACCCAGATACGAATCAGCGAAGACCTCCCCCCTCAAGTAGCACGCTCGTTGCAACCTCTTCCAGCAATGCAGCAGTGCCTCGTCTGTTGTGATGACCCCGTGACCTAGGCACTGACGAAGCACCTACCTATTCCGGAGGCTTCTGTCAAACGCACGGAGCTCCTAAGCTGCATCGCGGAAGCGCCGCCTACCGACTGCTCTTGACCAGTTCACAGCAAGTGAGGTTCACCACGCCCATGCCGCTCAGACTGCAGCATCAGGTGCATGATGCTACATGTGTACAGTTACATGTCTTGAGAAAGCGCCGGGCAGAGTCAACGACAGATGGATGGCACACATTGAAGGAACCCGTATAAGGGTACCCTAAACCCTAAACCCTATACCGAAACCCTTTAAGTAAGTACCCTTAAAGGAACCCTCGAGGCACCTTGCCGCTCTGAGGCCGGACTGCATGAAGTTCGGCGGGGCAGAAGCGTATGTCCCCTCGCAGCCCCCTGTGGCGCATGCAGAGGCAGGGGAAGGGACCCTAACACGGCAGGAAATCGCAGGAATAAATCGGATGTGGGGAAGATCCTCGCAGGCTAGAGTACCCTTTACGGTCTTTTGCCGCAAAAGTGCCAACAAGTCTGTCGCTGTCAACGCATTTGGTCAGCACATGCCTGGAGAAGAACTCGATAGCTTGCAGCCACCTTGAAGAGGTCGAAGGAGCATCGGCTCGTGTCCAACATGTTCGTGCAGAGCAAGTTGCAGCTACAGGCTGGGTTCTGCTCATCTTCCTGAGAAAGCCCACTTCAGGATGCTTCGACACCTGCTGCCCGCTTCAAAGGCAGCCCGACACAGTCTATGCAAAGACCCGAGCGCCTGGACAACCTCGATGAACTCGAGAAGCTGGAGACGCGCTCTTCAAACTCGGCATGTGTGCATGCTGTGCTTCTTGCAGTCCGCATGTTTCAGCCAGACGACTTTCAAGGCAGCGAGCTTCAGCCATTAGATCCCTCAAAGCCGAAAGGTAGTGTACTTGTTTGCCACTGATCCTGAGATTGCCCTGTCTCGATAGCTCCAGGAGACAAAGCCGGCTGCAAGCAGCCCACGCGACGACCATCCGCTGGCGGCAGACAGGTCCAATGCTTGGCGCAGTGCGGCTTCCAGTTTCTCGAATCTTGTCAGCTGCAACTCGTAACTGTGAAAAGTCGGAGATGCGATTGCATCGATGTGGTAAACATGAAAGAAGGTGGGACGAGGTTTAAAACCTTCGAGGGAGGTACTGGCATTTTCGTCACCCCACGACTCACGACTGTGTTTCAACATCTCGGTTGGAAGCAGTGAAAGAGAACATGAGAGCCAAGGGATGTCTCTATATGTGGCAGATCGCAAGGAAAGGCATAAGCGTAGGTCGAACAATAAACTAAACTTGAAGCAACTGAGCATCCTGGAGAAAGATCCGGTGTTGCTGCCGAACCCGAAAACTAGATTCAGCACTTACTTGGAGAACTGAGCGGGGTGGCTGCAGCTCTTGCATAACAGCCTTACCGGGGACTTTAGCCGACGACCAATCGACTCATGAACATCACCACAAAGAATCCAGCAACACACGTCTCTCTCTCTCTCTCTCTCTCTGCTTGTACAGTTGGAACCCTGGTCGTGTGCAAGGCAGCGGCAAGTTTTACACGTTTGCACGCTCACACTCTGTAGTGGTATGCTGTACTTGCATGCTTCCGCATTGTCAGGTCATCCTTGTTTCTCAAGCCACTGACTGCACTGCTTGAGGCCTGGACATGATGCGACAGGCTCCGACGAGAACTTGTGGTGGCAAGGCGGGGAGCGGCCGGCCTTCTGCTCTTTGGGGTCCTCATCTATACCCCGCGTCGCAGGCTACCAGTCGTGGGACAACTGGCCGGATGGCTACAGCTGGCGAGGGGGCTGGAACTGGGCCTCGCACAACGACGAGCAGGACGGATGATATTATGATATTGATTGTCAATTTTCAGATATAGGGCTAGTCTGCTATGCTGGCCTGCAACAGGCAGCCAACGGCTGGTGGAATTGGCAGGCCAGAGACCCCGACACAGCAGATGTCCTGTGCATGAGCATTACATCCAGTCCGTTCTGGATTGCTGGCGAGGACCGGTCCTGGGCTGGGCAGTGGCAGCCAAGCAGGCACCCTGACTTCCGCTGGGAGTCTAGAAGCTAGAAGTCCGCAAAGTCGGCCCGCACATGTAGGTACCAGCGAACCGACTAGCTGGGCTGCAGCAAAGGCCCGGACCCTCAAGTCTCGGTCGCAGATGTAGTGTGCGGTTGGTACATTGCACAGCTGGGCCAGGTTGGACGGAAGGATGCTGACCAGCGCTTCAGTGATTCTGAATGGGCGCAGGATGCGACAGTTGCAAAAGAAGAAGCACTGCCCATTTGCGATTGTTCCAGCTACAGCTGCTGCTTGCAACACCGGACGTCGAGCAGTCGTTGAAAAGACCCAGCTACTGTAGTGAGTCTGGGAAATGCAGCTTTCCAGACTTCTAAGGTGGACCCAGTCAGACTCCGAGCTTCTTGCAGAGGTCGCGCACAGGGTGCCATGGTCATCAGAAGCACGACTGTGACTCAGGTGCTTCCATTCCTAAAAGGCCTCAGCCTGGCAAGGCTAAACCAGCCAGCACAGGCCCGAGACTGGGAGATCTTTTTGCAAGGCGTGTGCGTGGATCTCTGTGTACAGGCAGCCGATTGCCTGGAAGAGGCCATCGCATTGAACCCCGGCTTCAAGCAGGCATGCATGTGCCGCTGTGCCCTGTGACGAGCAAAATGCACTGCTGCATTATGTGGCAGCACGTAGCACGAAAATGCAGGCCTATTTGGAGTTCGACCAAGCTTGCACCGCACTTCGCGACTTTCCGCGCTGCAGGCAGCAGCACGTAGCATCGGCCATAGGGAGCTCGATTTATCTCGGATTTGGTGCATGTTTAGTGTGTTTTTGCGAAGGCGGGTGGCGCAGAAGCTGGTCGACCATGGAGGTGTGGGGGGGGGGGACTCACGGCCACCGACACTAGAATGAAACGGGACCAGAATCGTGAACTTGTGCATCGATCCGGTAACAGGCGACTGGCATTGACTTGAATGCAATTTTTGCTTGGAAATCCTGAAATGGAAATTTGGTTTCCGGCCGATTGAGCCACAAGCACAGCAAGTGGCGGCCATTGAACGTGCAGACAAGCTTCGTTGTCAAGAGTCGGTGACAGATATGGGACCACATTTTGCAGACCCAGCTCTGACCACTGGAACGGAGCGTGCTGCTGATAGCACCGATCTCAGCGGGCATTGCATGGCAGAGGTCATTGGGTGAACTGCTGGCAGCGGCCGCTTCATTTCCATGCTGGGGAGGATCCGAAGGCTGGCTGTCCAACTGCAGGGTGAGCTTGCGCAGAAATCCCACAAACAGGGAACAGCATGGGGCAAACTGCACAGCTGGTGTTGCCCTGGCCCTATGCTCCCTGCACCAGGTCACATCTCGGCCATGGTATGAACCGGAGCAGTTTGAGCAATCCGCCTCAAGTTAGTTCGGTGAAATGTCTGCAGGGCAGTTGCAACCATCGGTGTGAGACTCTTTAGTGCCTTTTCCGAGCTTATAGGAAGTTGGCCGCCAGCCTGATTGCAGCATGGACGGAGTGGGAATGCAGAGCACTGTCATGGACAAAGTGTGCTGCAGAGTCGCGTTTGCCTGCTGTCCGAGGTTGGTCCGTTGCCTGGAGGAAAACTTTGCCGCCTCAGCCTCTGAAGAACTGACGCATGCTAAGTCCAGCTACGTGAAGCGGCAAGTTGAACTAATCCGGTAGTGCCGCTAATGTCTACCACGGCGCAAGAGAAACACTATAATTGTAATACACGCAGGAACACACTGTCTCTGACCGAGCTGCGTGATTCGAGCACATTCTCCCCGAGCCTGGTCAATGTCAGAGAGCATCCTGCCCTTTTACTTCCCGTCGAGTCATCGTCGAGGTGATCCAGCGGGAGCTTTGCGAGCTAAGTGCGCCAAGAGGATGCAGGCCCAATCTGTGTTTGAGAACGTGGCTTCACGGGGCGCTGCACACAGGGTCCCAGAGTTTACGCGAAGCCTCCGCCGCAGTGTAGTGCCGTATTCATGTGTCGCACTTGGGTAGCAACATGTGTTTCTGCAGATTCGAAGGTCAAGTTTATCGGCGTACCATGAAAGGAAAGAACCGATGCGTGCTCTAGCCTTGCCTGTTCGCGTGCGCAGACTACGATGTTGCACATCATGGGGCTATGATCATAGATGCATTTGGCGAGCGGGCCATCGTTATTCCGTGTTGGTCGTTCAGGTGGGGTGGAGTTGGCACTGCTCACCGGGGGAATCAAAATTCGTCCCCGGCTCAGTATGGTGGGGTGCAAGTTACTGCAGGCCGAACAGGGATTTGACTGTTTTGTGAAGTCCGGGAGGTCCCATGATGCGGACTTGGTGGCGGCGGGGGAGTGGCAGGAGGCAAGATTGTTTAGCTGTCGCGGCCAGACACCCGCCGTCGTTCCAACCAATGGTGCAGATCGAGATAGCAAGAACTGCGAGCACTTAAAGATCGGGATTCTTCACAGCTCGACATGTCTCCCCAAGAAGGATTTTTCTACGATGCGATCAGGTGGTGCTGCTAGGGGACTCGGACGAGTGCAACGTGTCTCGGTGCAGTGAAAGTTGCGGCGCAGATTGTTCAATGTAACATCTTCCTGTTGAAGACTCTGAGGAGAACTGTTTGCACTGTCCGGCGCGAAGGGCTGAGTTGCCCCGCTGCCCCGCAGGCAGCACTTTCCTGAAAGCCTCCTTTCGTGAGCTCAAGCCTGTGGATTCCAAGGACAGCCTCGCTCCTGAAAAAGTTTGACGAGGCACCGCCTTGCCGTCGAATTCTGGATAGAATCTGTAATTGTGATAACGGAGTTTCGTAGGTGCGAGCTTGCAAGCCTCGCAGCGGCCCATGTTTTGATTCATGTGGGCCGTGTCTCCACTCGGCTCGAAAGCGCTGAGTGCTGATTTTCAACCAGCTTGTCCATGCAAGCAAGCGCATCATGGTCGCGACCTTACGCGCCAGGGACGTCCTGATTGCTTAACTACCAAGCCTGTTGGAACAGCAGCCTTGCTGTCTGACTGAGGCATGGATGGCAGCTTGTTTCCCAAAGTGCCTTGGCAATAGATTCGATAGATCCATACAAGCTGAACAACAGCTGAACTCTGCAATGCAGCAGTGGCGTTGTGGTGTGACAGTGTGGCTAGTCCCGCCCACATTCTGCCAGGTAATGAGATACTTGGCAGCATGCAGGAGGTAACGAAGATAGCAACACATCGGGCTCTTGCTTTTGCACGAAGAAGGCAGTTCTCGTCGGCCTCGACTCTTCTGCACGCATCGGCACATGTAAGACTAAACGATGCTGCATGTGTTGCAAACTGCCGAAGCTGCTTTCGCTGGTAGTCGAGGCTATAGTGACTATAGTGCGCTCTTTCATGCATCATGTCTTGGGATCACAGCTGCAGTCTGATGCTCTGCGAAATGCTGACTAAGTCCCCGAACCCTAGCACTTCCAGCAGACCCGTAACACAAGCAAAGACAGCAGTGCGAAGAATCACGAAACATCCACGGTGCTCGATGTGCGGGGCTCAGCGGCTGCGCTGCAGATGTGGAGGTCATGCCGAGGCCTTGTCATAGCTTCCGAGCCACACAGCCGGCACTAGAGCCGAGCCTTGTCACGTCATTGTGGGCGCGAGACTTGGGCCGACCCGAGACGTTGGGATCGCAGGTGGTCTTCACTTGGCGTACCAAAGAGCAACGAAGAGCAGAATGCTCCAAAGGACTTTCCTCTCTGCATCATGAGCTTTCTTTGGCGGTTTCAAAAACTCCACCGCAAGGACATTATTTCGCAGACGCAGGTCTATGTACTTTGCATCCCCTCTCGTCGCCAGCATGCTTCACAGCTTATGGAGCGTTGGGGCTTCGATGCCGAGCTTGTGAATGGCCCAGACAAGCACGAGAGCCCCGACTGCAAGTAAGGCTGACTGCTCGCTTAAGGATGTCATGACTGCCGGCACTTCGCAAAGGGCTTCCCATCTAACATCTACCGCAGGATGAATTTAGACGAGTTGGTTGCTTCGGGCGTTATTCTGGAGAGCTACCTTGATGTGATCTGGCAAGATGTGGAGTACATGCCCGAGGGCAAGGTGGCGTGCCACCTCGGGCATCTGAACATACTTCGGCGCTTTCTCGCCGACACCAAGAGCCTCGGTCTCACCATGGCAAGTTGATGTTGCACTTGTGGGGAACATAGCATGACGGACACGGGCCGACCATGTTTCCAGAGAGTTTCCAGTTGTTCTTTGCCTGCGAGCCAAAGGAAAAAGTACGCTTTGATCTTTGAGGATGACCTGGAGCCCGGGCCCCCCGACCTCTCATCGAGGTTGAGAGAGTTCCTGTCGACGCACGGCGCACGGTACCATGGGTCGCCTCGTAGGGCTTCCACCCTCAGGATATCTGGGTTTAGTCAAGATTAGATGCAGTGCGAGCTGTGAGCCGTGCTGTGTGGAGCCTCACGCTGTTTGATTCAACTGGTTGGTACTACTTGGTACTGGTTGGATTGTTGGGGCGGGGCCGGAAGACTTTGCCGGCAGCATGAAGCAGCTACTGAACAGTGCGCCCTCGAAAGCATAGCTGTCTCCCTCCATTGTACAAAGCCCAAGGAGAGTGCCAGCTGATTTCGACCTGCTCCATCTGGGTTTCGTGCGGGAAAGTCAAGAGGTGCAGGGAGAAGCAGTAGTTCAAAGAGTTTAGGTGTCTGGACACACAGTAAGTGATATGAAGGCGCGAAGAGCTGCGGACAGCAGTGGACACGTCTTCCGTTCTGTGGAGGCCTTGGGCCGTCATGCCTACCTCGCGACTAGACCGTTTGGAGACTTTTTGGGTGTCGAAGGCTGCCCAAGACACGAAAACTTGCAAGCAGCCTCTCTCGATCTCAGGTCACAAAGCGGGTGGCTGAGCTCTTGGTCGAGCACACGCTGCCGATGCACAACCATGGTGACAAGATGTTCCAACAGGTTTATCAAGCATGCAAGCTGAGGGCATACCATCCCAGGGAGCCCCTGTTCTACCAAGACAGGATAAACTTCGAGTCCGAACTCACGGAGAGGTGGAAGCCTTCACGCGCCTTCCAGCCGACGTCGGAAAAGGACTTCATCCGTGACTGTGACCGGCCAGAGATGGAGCGCAGGCATCGAAGGAAACTTCAAGAGCAGACACAGATCATGGCGATGCAGTCCAAGATCTCTGCTGCACTCTTTTTAAACATTGATGGCGTGCTGAATACCGTCGCGGAGCCTTTTGCGCAACTTGGTGGCAACTGCTAAGTTGGTCTGCAGTTCGAGCCTCCACTCCCGAAGATCGCACCTGTCATCACCCGAAGCGTGTGCAGATTCAAGACTCCTCGTCAAAGATACCAGCATCACAGTTGCCACACAGCGGCACAGATCACACCCACCAACCGAAGCCTCCCATGCACTTAGAGAGCTGTTTCATGGCAGTCAGTGTTCCGCACCTCAGCTGCTTAGCGGAGTGTGTCTTTTCACATGTTTGTTTTGCACCCGAAAGTTTCTTCGACCGCTGTTTTGGCACAACGACTTGCACACTGTCGCACGAAAGGTCAAGTGCCACCCAGTATTATGGGGTCGATGCTAATCAGCCACTCAGCGGCCCTGCAAGCTATCTATCTGATTGGAGCTTGTAACCTTCAAGTGACCTGGAATCCAAAGTAAACATCTACCCACATGTCTAGAAACATACATACAGAAGAAGATGTAATGGTGTTCTCCTCTTCGTTCATGTTCGCCCCTTGCTTACAGTACATTATTAAACTAGTCATTGCATTTTGTTATGGGCGACTGGAGCACAAACAGAGCAAAATAGGCACTTTTGCCTCCCATCCTACGTAAGTTACGTAACCGACGCAACCATCTATTAGCGGACCCAAAGACGACAGCGGGTCCTGTTGACTGATGTGGGTTTCTTGTCGTCTTTTGATTAGACAAGTAGTCACATAAGGAGAAGGAACTCCAAGCTAGCGTGTGGTTCCCTCGCTTTGGTTTCACGGGACTTAGCCCGTGGCGGTACCTTGAGTGACTTGAGTGGGTCTGTGAGGTCTTCGCGCTGCGGGCGCGCGGAGAAACGACCACTGCAACGACTCGCGCACGTCTTGCAAAGAGCTCCCAGCTGCGTTGTGCTGACTAGTCCCTGGAGGTGCAAGGGCTTCGAATAAAAGGGGCGGGGTTCGCTGCTCTTTCAATCGTAGCACTGCATCTACACTTTTCAAAAGAGGCCTCTACAGTTCTCAGTTTTGGCGTCAAGGAGGTGTCCAGCTTCTTGGGTGGCGCTAATGTTGAAATGGAGTATTCGTCCCTTAAATCGTTACCTGGGCATGGAGCTGGGCGGACCTTCTGGCTCTGAAGTTACACGAGAGGCTGTAATCACATACGAGTACCGCCGTTCCACGGAAACGCTGCATGAGCTGCGGTCGTGGCACTCCACCAGGAGTATTCCATGCAGGAGTTGGCAGGAGAATGGATAATTGGCGGGAAAGGCCTGTGTTTTCAGGATACATGTGTATACAGATGCAGGAACACGGGATCCGATTCTCGGAACCTCCGACAGCTTCGGCCGGACCTGAGGCGAACCTGAGCAAAGCTGCCGCTGCGAGGTTCTTACCGGCGCTGCAATCATGATTCTGTCGAAATCGTTGAATTCGGCGTACACTTCCGACGAAGCAGAACTTGAAACTTTAAGCGGCACGCTTGCGAAAGAAGCCTTCCGAAAGCAGAACTCCAGGCTGTCTCGCCGAAATTTGCCACGTTGTGCAGCAGAAATTCTCGCTAGTGGTGAAGCTTTGCTCAGAAGAGCCTTTTGGAAGTGCACGATCGGCCGAGAAACGTTTTCCCGACAGTATGCTGCCCTTCGGGGTTTTGACTTTGCTTGGAAAACTGGCAGCAAAGCGTTTGACTCGGGTGCTTTGCTTGGCACGCACACATGTCGCGCAGATGTGCCGCGCCTAATTATAAAGGCAGGCCGGGGACTTGCAAGTCAAGCCGGCCAAATGATGTTGAGGCATCGTCAGGATGTATCGTCTGCATCGCTGTGGTGGCAGCCTCTTATATTTCTCGACCCGGGCAGTGGGCACCGAGTGTTCATCTGCTTTTCCCAAATGCATCAAGCACACCAACACAGACCAATTTACTCATCTCCGAAGCTCGCCTGGAGTCGGCCTGCTGAGTTTCCGATGGGTTTTGGGGCTGACATTGCGTCATGAGTCATGTGTGGATCATTCAGTGCAAGGGCGGCAGGTTCACTGTCACGAGCGCTTTGAGCCTCAGTGGGGATCGGATAGTCTCTTTGAGTTGCGCCAACTGAATTGCAATTTGTGGTGCCCTCGATGTCCCGCCATAGTGCAGTGAGCATCCTGCAGGCTGGACGAGCGTTATGCTGGTCGGCTTGGGTCTGCACTGGCACGCGAAGGGGTGCCGTGGATAATGGCCGCACTTGCGGCAACAGCAGATGGAAGAAGTAGTGGCATCACGACTGCTTATATGAGTACAGTATTCGAATTGGATCCCGACCGTGTTGCAACAAGCATTATAGTCATGGCTTCAGGCCGTGCACACATGCGAACAAGATCGGTATGCTGTGAACAAAGAGTGACAATCCCCAAGCTTCTATCTAGACCCTAGACTAGACATAAGTGAACGAGTGAACCGACCTGAATTTGAAGTTGCTGTTTCTGTACTGCAGTTCAAGGTTCTGAGAATGAAGAGCTGCGCCTTGTCGAGATCGGATGCTGGCTGGAAGACAACACATGGGTTCAGGACCGCATGAGCTCTTTGCAGAAACACGGACTGCATCTGTCCGATGCCAGGAATGGGCGATCCTAGACTCTTTCGATCTCTCCGAGCTTGATGATGCCCTGTTCGGCCGTGTAGTTTGCACTGACTACAGTGCCGGGCTACAAGAGGAAGAGGCTGAGGTTCTGGTCAAGATGCTAGCGGGGACAAGTGCGCTCTAACTCTGACCGGCCTTGCCTGGGTCAGCTGGACGACGTCAAGAAGCAGGAATGAAAAGAAGCCGCGATCGTTCGCGGGCGTCGGCTGTGATTGTTTCCAGCGAGTGGGGCTCACAGCGGCAAGCTGCATTGAACGACTCCCCCGCTGTGCATCCATAGCTGAAAGCTAGCTGCGAGCGCATTAGACAGTGGCTCCTCAGCTCCATCTTCGGTAAAAGGCTGCCTGATCAGAGCATTCCCCGTTGTGCAAGCAGCAACCGAAAGCCTGCGACAGTTTCTACTGGGTCAACGCCAAAGTCAATTCTAAGGAGTTTTCGGCATCTCCTGCCCATGCACTGCCAGATACACCAAGCAGGACTACGAAATGCCTCCTGGTTGCACTCGGTACTCTCATCTCTCTTGCCAGATGTTGCATTGAAGCCACATGGTTCGGATGCAATGCTTATGTGAGAATCAGTCGGGGCAGCTTCGAATGAGTGTGTCACCAAGGATGCAATTCTTATGTGAGAATCAGTCCGGACAGCTTCGAATGAGTGTGTCACCAAGGACAGAAGATGACCGATCTCCTGTTTCTGTCGGGAAACCAGGCTGCATGCAGGCATGCAGTAGCCGTGGGCTTGTGGAAAGTGGCGATGAGTGCGGACATCGGTCCCGATTGAATTCAAGGACTGTTCTTCCTGGAAGCAAAAGCTGCCACCTCGCCGGGCAGCTTGGCCAAGCAAAGCCAATGTCACGGTCAAGAGCTTCTAGACCATTCTAGAGGATGTTTTCCCCACGGTCAAAAGCTTGAAGACCATGCAGGTTCGTTGGCGCTTTTCCATGGATTTGCTCTACGACCGAGATGCTGGAGCCTCCGGCTGGGGCCTTGGAAGGTTGAGGTCTGAGTGGTGCTTCCAGCTGTGGTACCGAAAGACAGGTAGCTGCTTCTCATTTTGCTTTGAAGCTGGCCTGAAGGGACGGGGCCGTTCAACGGGAGTGACAGCACTTGATGCCACGGGTGATGCTGCACCGGACAGGTGGAAGGAGCGGTCGACAGCGTGGCACGCACCAATGAACAGCTTCTCGGCTTGCGAGACGTGAGTTTGTTGATCAAATCTGACCTGGACAGACTTCTCAGATAGGAGACCATGCCATGCAGCGAGCCGGCAAGCCTTCCGCACAATACAAAGCCGAAAGAGCGGTAGAGACCGTAAGGTTGGCAAGGTACATGTACAATGATGTCAAGGCTCGCTTCGCGTGATTTTGGGGTTCGTTGCAACATGAAGTTTAGTTACTTGCATTAGGAATTCAATGCTGGAGTTGTTACAGTTAGAGCCGATGAATAGCGAAGACCTGTGCCAGGTGTGTGACAGGTGCGGTCGGTCGTGTGCACACAATCAGAAGGCAGACTGGGCAGAAACTGGGAGTCTCTTGAGTTTTTGAGATCCTCTCTCCAGTCCAGAGCATGTCAGTGGGCCCGGAGGCATCGGCCCACTGGCACATGAACAGTCTTATCAAGAGGAAGGGATAGGGGTGTGGGATTGAACTGCCATTCGAGGCCTGTCAAGGCTGTGGGCACACCTTGGAGAACGTCCCCATCACACAGACGGAGAACGTCGCCCGGCCTCAGCAAGGATACAAAGTAAGGAGACAGTTCCCACTGCCACTGCGCACTTGATGTCGCACGTTCGCCATAAACAGCTGCCATTGGAAAAGGCCGTTAATGTGGCGTGTGTCTCTAGATGCTTAGATTCGTGACTACATCCGGCCGTGCTCCCCTTCACTTGCGGATTTGGGACTTGGGGACGGCTGCCAAGGTCATGATGGGCTTTATTTTCGGCGTTGAGCGCACTTTGAAGTTCCCGCTGATGATCTCGATCCGCAGGCACAGTGCCGCTGTGAGTGCCAAACCGAACAGGAGGTACTGTAATCCCTGTATTCGCTGATTGCAACATCAGCATCAGCTTCCGCTGGTGTTTGTGTGGCCGTAGTCTTTCAGTTTGCTGGTGTCTTGTGAAGCAAGTCAAGATCAACCTCGTGCAAGCCAACAGGCAAACCGACCACGTCATCGTTTTTGACGACTTGTTGGCAATGCTCCATGGCTATGCTTCACTTATCACTGCCCAGTAGCATTGCCGTAGCTTGGTTGTGCGGCTGTTCTTTAGCTTCAGATTTCAAGTCGGGCGTAGGTCTGAGAAGCTTTCTGTTGTGCTTGACCCTGGAGTCCGCAGGTCCACCTGCCACCTCAATGCTCTACTGACAAGCCACTACTGCCAGGACGCTTTTGGATAGCATGCACATAACCTGCTGGATACACCGCGCTGTTGGATTAGATTCAGATGGGATGTAGGACTAAGAGTGCAGGACTGGAGATGGCTGCTGCGAGATCCGTCAACCGCCTTAGGCCCGTCTTGAAGTTGGCAATCGGCAATCTTCAGACAGACTGAAGCATCCGTCCAGGAGCCGAAAATCGGCCTCATTAGTCTCTGTCTTGAAGTGCCCTAGTCTCGTCTACGTAGACATTGAGCTTCAATGGGCTTCGCTTCTTCTTGTGGATGGGGGTGGGATGCCTCGGGTTCTTTATCTTCAACCGAAAACATGAGCTTACGAAAGCATGTGCGAAGAAAGAGGGCATCAACAGAGCAAATCCCTGCCACTCGGTTAGAGACCCTCCCACCGCCCCTGGGCTGTTGCCGAAAAACACACCGCACAGGGAGGCTTGAGTCCATGGTGTGCTTTTTGTACTCACATGACAAGTCAGCAGAAATGCATTGCGGAGGGGATTCTCCGGTGGCAGCGTGAAATCATAAAGGACTCCACAAGAAATCCGTCCTCCAAATGACTTCAAACGACTCTGGCATCCAGCTCCGTTCCGGCAGGGCACTTGCATTGCAGGCAGCACCGGCCACCGGCTGCATCCGAAATAGGGAGAGAAATGGGTTTATTCCCGATGAAAGAAAGATATGGGTCCATCAAGCTATCTCTCCGAGTTTGAGCACGCTTCATGGACCATGCTATTTCCATGGGAAGAGTTCACTCGGAATCGGGTGGAGCTGGTGTTGTCCAACATACCGGTACCGCAGGAGTCTAAAGGACTTTCGTTCTGTCATCCTCATGACTTTTCAGGGAGCAGCACCACCCCTTTTGCAAGAGTCGGCTTCGTGCCGTGTCTTGTATTCAGAACAGTTTATTTACACTTCGGGGCTTGACGGGGAAGGTGGCCACAGGCAAAAATTGGGTCGGTCTTAACAGTCTGGCAAGGCTCCTTCTGAATTTCTGCCTGCCAATCGCAACATCCCATTGCTGGCTCATGCTGCTTTCGAGACATCCATGCCACGGGTAAGACAGATCCCCCCGGAGGCTTCTTGGACGAGATGGAGGCAGAGGCTTGGCAGGCCACTTTGTCCTTCTTCTCGGACGAGCAGTGGCGGAAGTTCGTGTACAGATGCTCGACCACTTGTAACGGTATGGATGACCACACCCAATCCGACTCGAAAGTCAGTATTGTGTAACACTTAGCAACACTGTCAGCACAAGCCATGACGCCAAGGAGAAGGTGTTACCAAAGAGATGGTGAGGGACAACATCATATGCTTTTCGGCAGCAGAGAGCGCTTCAACACGTTTTCCCATGCCGCGGTTCTGTGGAAACCTTGGCGTTCGTTCTGTTTCTGGCAGAGTCACAGGCCGCAGCCGCGAGTGATGCTAGCGAACATGGCACGTGTGCAGTGTACAGACATCAATGTGCCATCTCCTTTGTAACTCCAGATTGACGAACAGTTCAGATGTGCGATTGAGAGAAAGGCAGTCCTACGAACCTATTGCTCCAAGGTGGTTTCAATTCGCCGCCATCGCAATATCAGCGACTTGGCAGAAAGGGTGCATAGACGCAGTTCGCTGCCCTTGGCCTTTCGGAGCCTCCTCGAGCTGCACAAACTCCGACACGGGTCTTCGCGGAGCCAGCATCACCTTTGCATGTTTCGGCACACAACTGCAAAGTTCAAGTCAGACGCCTGGCCATGAGAACCCAGAAGATTCCTCTTTCCGGCAGCCACCAACAGCAGGAAGGTAAAGGGGCAGTGAGGCTTAGGCAAGGCAACCTTGGTGAATCGAAACATTCCACATGTTGCGGATCGGATGCATCGTCAGACTTCGTCGAGAAGTTGTTGTGGCATGCGAAGCTATTGTTAGGAGGGATTTGTCATGACTCCTGAGCAGGTTGCATTTGCAGTGGATTGTGCTGCCTCTGATGCCCTTCCATCACTCGACGCCGAGCTGAAACAACCATTGTGTCTTTTGGTCGTCAGCGATGCTGAGTTCTCCAGTAGCTAGAGCCTAATATCTGAGCAGAGTGGCAGCCTGTCATGCCACATAGGAGCAACACGAAGACTGAGGAAGCTTCTTGACGGACTGCATGCCCAGCGAGGCAGATGGTTTCCTCTCGAGTACGTGCCAACCTGAGAGAGACTGCAGGAGCAGAACAGATGGCGAAGTGACTAAAGTGACTACAGCAGTGCTTTAGTGCAAATCGGAACAAAGGTCAGAAGAATCTTGGATGAGCTCGTTGCAGAAGGGAAGACGTTCGACATACGCGCGGACACGCCTGTGGACGAGATCATCCAATACTTCAACAGCAAGGGCGTCTACTATGAGGAGCCTTGGCTGATGCATCATCGCCATGGGTGCATGAGCTCTCGGCCAGAGAAGCATAGAGAAGCACTGAAAGAAGTGAGCGGAAAAGTTCTGCGATTGTGACCCAGGCCACGACTTAGAATGTGCTGTCGCAAGCTGTCGTGAGGAAGTTTGGGCAGAATGTTACCAGAAGTACTGCGCCAGCTATGCCCTGAGCAACTGGAAGGCCGGTCGCAGTTAGAGCATGCAGGAGTTCGGCGGTACCGACCAGAATCGGCGAATTCAAAGCCATGTTACACGCATGAACGACGCATTCGCCAGAGAGTCAGTTGTTTCTGCATTTCAGGCAGAGGACTTCAAATACGTGGTCCTCGAGGGGCAAGTGCATGAAATTCAGGCCGGACATGCAATGCACGCGAAAGTCCACACGAAGCCTTGATGCTTGTAGCGAGGTCCAGCTAGGTATGATTCGGTGAGATCCTTGCTTCATTGATGGCAGCGAAAGACAGAATGAGCTGCAAATGTCAAATCATCAAGAGATCCTGAGCGCTGGGGAAACTGAGTGTGTTGTAGACTCTTTGTAGACCCAGTGCGCAGCGATGAAAAACCACCGCAGTCTTGCGGCAACACGACTGCAGCTCCACAGCAAGAGAGGCCATTGCAGGAATTCGCATAGAGGATTCGAGGGCTAGAAACAAAAATCCTGCGTTTCTGAACTCGTGAGCACCGGGCCTTGGCTGTTTCCAATCTTTTGAAACCAATTTTCAATTCCCACAAGGGAACTCGAAGTGATGAATCCTCCATCGACCACCGATCCAACTACGACTGCAGTAGCCACCAGCCCCAAAACTCCAGCACGACGGGCACAGATCTGAAGCTGTAGGAGCGAATAGTGATTGTTAGTTAATTTGCCACAAGTTTTTGCGACAGGGGCAAGAACTTGGTGCTTTGCCAGTGCATAAGGCAAAGGCATAGTAAATGCTGAATTCAACGCAGTCCGCATGATGCACGTCATGCCACTGCGAGCGGCGCAGTCGCCAAAATCAAAGTAACGCAGCGGTCCCTTCAGGAGGCTCTTCCGGGAGGTCACGTGCGTGTGGGCAATAAGCTACACCTCGATCCTGTCTCCAAGCTGCAGCTTGAGGGACAGGCTAGGCCTCAGTCCGTGGGGGCTCTGTGTGATTGAACACTTCGGAAACTTTTCATCCGAAGCTCTGAGGTCAGCCTCCATAACGAGGACAAGATGCTGCTCCAAAACTACGGCCGTCGCAGCGAAAGTGATGGAGGTAAACCATCTGGTACGTCTCTCACTCGCACATGGATCTCGTGCGTGCTTGCTTTATTCAGGACAGGCAAGCGACCCGCGGGCAGGAAGAAGAGCAGGAACGAACACAGCCAACAGGACCGTACAACGGCCATACAGCGAGCAGGCCAAGGCCCATATACACCCTCCTACCAGCTCAGGTACTACAAGCATCACAAGGCGCTCAAGATCGGAGATGGAGGGTGTCTTGGCGAAGTTCGGGAACAGCCTTAGGTCTTCATTACCTCTTGATTTGAAACTTGAGAACTTGCCGCCAAAATCTCGCAAGCACAGAGTGCACGCAGAGATGCTCCTGGAATGTGAAGTTCGAGCTGATACCCTCTCTAAGGATACAGATTTGGCCCGGTTTGGAAAAGTGATTTCACCGGTCTCTCGCCTTTCAGGCTGGAAGTAGCACGGATGCTCTGACTCTTGCCGACAAGGGCTCCCAACCCCCTCAAAAGCACCCCAAGTCCCAATGCAGCGTTTGCACAGGGCTAGATGCATCCCACAGGAAAGCACAGTGGGGTCGTAGTTGAAGCTGCGCTGCCTGCTTCAGGAGCATACGGCGCAGGTGAGACTGGTTCTTAAGAAACTCACTCACCCGGTGCTGCCTTGGCATGGACACTGGATTTAAGGCAGCGTCCTTACAGCTGACTGTCTCCAGAGCCTGCCAAGCTCATATCCGTGAGTCCTGCAGAAAAGCCTCGACAGAACCCCTCCGAACCGTCAAACCGATAGAACCGATGGAAGAGCTCGGGCAGGCTCCAGGGTGAAGCGACACCATGCGGTAGTGGTACGTGTTGACGGCATGGCAGAGCAATGCAGACAACGTTGAGTTGTTGAAGAAAGTGTCGCCTGACCCTGGCAAAACCTCTCGAAGCAAGTCTGCGAGAGGGTAGGTGTAGGTGTGTCCAGGGCCTGGGACCTGTAAAGATTTCCTGCCCGGACAAACGTGTACTCTTGCTTTATCTGTCCTGTGGCCGGCCGGCGTGGCTGCTGTCCCTCAATCGGGCAGCAACTTTTGCTTTGTCATCGGCCGCTGACGAGGGCGAACGTCGTTTCACGGTACGATGCCTGCGGAGCTCGCAGGCCAAGACTCCCTGAGTTCTCTTCGAAAACCTAAGCCCAAGCTGCTATCGGAAGTGCACCGATTCAAACCGGTTTCTGGCACATCGCTTCAAACCTTAAGAAGCTGTTCCTTCCGCTGGCGAATCACTGCTGATTTCTGTCGTCCGGGCCGAGGCCTTAAACCCGAGTCTTGAAGAGAATGTTTGAGGGCGTGTTCACCAGTTCTCGCTCGAGAGCACAGCACAACCCAGCAGAGTGCGTTTCAAAAAACAGGTATTCGGCGCTGTACAAGCTTCCGCGGTGTGTTGAGTTGCGGTTGAGGTTGTTGCTGCACCGTTATTGCTACCACGGATGCACGCTTGGCTGCAAACAGCCATTTGCATTCCGGCAGAGATGGGGAACGGAACAATGAGCCAGCGCAGATTGTGAAGAAAACGCTTGCCCGAGCATTTTCCGAATCTTGATCCAAGTGGCTGCGGTAGCTGCACTCCAGTCATCTCCAGTCATCAGTCTGTGCTCTTGTCGAGTTCCCACAGCGAAGCTGTAGCGAGTATGCTCGCAGGTGCGTGAGTGTGCCGAGATGAGACTGGGGGAGCCCTGGTCTCAGATGACATTTTGTATGGCTTGTGTGGCAGAACAGACAGGTCACACAGGGAGCCGCTCGGTCACACAATCTTGCCCAGCATGTGCGAACGAACAGGGTAAAGGCGTTGTGGTATGCAGCATGCGGCTATCATTTGGTATGCTTTGTGATGGTGATGCCGCTGAGTCACACTGAACTGCCTCAAACCGCTGCAGTTAGATTTGCGATATGCAATACCTGGGCGTATTTGGCAATGTTTGACCACCAGCATGTGCTTTGGAAGCCTATCTGTGACAACGACATCGAATGCAAACTCTAGCAGTCTAGCATCCCTTGACTGTCCTGCCTGTAGCATACCATGAGCCGACGGGCTGTTGCATGGCTGCGGAACGACCTGCGCCTGCACGACAACGTGCCCGTACTCGAACAGCTGAGTAGGATTTGCAGTTGTTCACGCTGCACATGCGTTAAATTTCGCCAGCCAGCATGCATCATGTACCGCATGATGACTATGCTCGCTGAATCTCGCTGAAGGAACTTTTCCACGTGCGAGGACTCCAAGCAGCTTCTGAGCTCTTGGTTGTGCCGCGCATCGGCAGTTGTGTTCGATCCCGCTCAACCAGTCTGACGAGCCTGTTTCCAATGAACTGAGGTACTGCATTGACCCACGTCATTGGGAACAGAGCCCGTGGGGTGACCACCAGAGATGTGGACCTTTCAGGCTACACAGTTTCCGATTGCCTGAGGGGTTCTCGATGCACGGCTCACTGCGGCAACCACAGAAAATGTCAGCACGAAGTGGCGAGGAGCCGGCTGATCGCTGAGTCCCTGGAGGCCGAGAGGGGTTGCGCGGCGAGCATCAGTGTTCGAGGTTGTCGACAGCCAAAGATTTCCTCTCCAACCGGCACCTCGTCCAAGTGTCCAGGCGCTGGCCGAATCACTGCGCAGCATCGGCTCACGTCTAATTACTGTCGCCGGACGACCCGAGGAGGCAGGAATTGCCGTTATGCGGAATCGCGAAGTCTTTTTCCATTAGAATCAAAGAACTTTACGCAACTAGAGCTTCGAACTTACACTCCTGCAGCCTGAGCCAGCTTCCTTGTATAGCATCATCACACCTGCAAACCAACCGCGAGTTTAAGCAGGTACTGCCACAGCTTTTGCCACCGGGGTCTTTGCTCGTGTACCAGGCCAGAAAGTCCATCAGACATTGGGCAATAGTGCAGTTTGCACTGTCTCCGTCCACTGTTGGCAATTTGCTGAGCCGCCAATGCAGCCAACAATAAACATGAGCCAGCATGAGGCTACGAAAAGGATCTTTCGGTGCTCCCTGCCTACATAAGCGTATATGATTGCACCAAGCGGCTTGACAGACGCTCGATTCGCAGCAGGCAGAGGACACTCACGATGAGCAGCAAGTGGAAGAGGCGCTTCATGCTTCTTGTTGACAACCCAATCGGCAAGCCGTGCAAGACCCGCCCACGGGTACGAAGATATCGGAAAAATCAGCCAAGCTAACTCCTGCAGCAGAGGCGATCCTCGGCAGACTTCCAGCAAATGTCGAGGCATCTGACGATGCTTTGCGTGAGTGTCCGTCTGTCTGTCTATCTGTGTGCGTGCGTTGCTTCATCGCATGCTGACACCACCCACTCTACTCGTAGCACATTCTGGCAGCAACATAGGATGCATTGAGCATCATTGAACATATATGACGGGTGAGAGGAAGCGGCCGACGAAGTCAGGTTTGAGCTGAATCCTCGCGAATGTTTGGCCGAGGTGTGCCGCCATTTCGGCAAGGGCTCCTGGATCAGAGCTGTACGCAGTGAATATGCGTTGATTGCTGTGTCAACTTCGGCGGTGGTCACAGCTTTGCCGGCGCAATCAGACGTGTGGTTTCCGCCGAAGTCAGTTCAGGCCAGACTCTCCGGAACCGCGAGGATCTGGGCTTCGTCTCCTTGCTGCAAAAAGCCAAGCCTCCTCTGACAGCCTCGGCAGGCTCCTAAGTCTAGGTGCAAGAATTTCATAGCGCATGAAAAGACTGCCGGCGACGCTACAGAAGAAGCAGAAACGGATGTGCAATCCTATGTCCAGGACATTTTGGAGTGGTTGCCACTTCCATTCGGCAAGCTTCCTGGCATGTTATGGAGGGCTTTGCGCAGCAACGATCATCGCATCGTCATGCCTGCTGCCGTTGCAATGTTAATCGGAGAATCTTAGTGAGGGGATGGTCAATGCACCGAGGTTCTACCACGAGACGTGTGCGGCCGTAACTCCGCGCAAGGAGCTGCCTGCCCCAGGCACACGAAGAGTCCCAGTCCAGGTCTCAGCTTCCTTTCTTTCGGAGCCGAACCCTGGACCAAGGGCAGCTGCCACCTTCCAAAGCTGAGAGACTGGGACTCGCCACCTGGCGGCAAAGAAACATCACAGCTGTCACCCTTGCGGAATGTTTCGGAAGTGCGCTGTGCTTTCTGTCACCTCCGCTGCCAATCTGGCGTGATGCTGCTTTTGGAATACAACGACATAACGTGTGACATAACAGACGGGAGATCATCTTCGCTGGGAAGTAGAATCGCGGTGCGTCATCGCAACAATCAGGACATGGTGCAGCCAGTGGCCGGATGTTTGCTGCAAGCCATGGGTCTGGGCTCGGCCAGCCGGCAGCCGTAAGCTGGTTTTAACCCCAAGTCTCCCATGCCCACCAGACAAAGCACGGAAAACAGCCAGGAGTCCTGTACAGCCTAGCCTGAGTGTTTTGACGGATCCAGAAACGAATTCTAACATGTGCAAGACCGAAAAGAATGACTATGGGAATAACCGGCGCAGTTGATCAATGGGCGCGTGACGAGTAAACAGAAGGGTTGCACTGACTAAGTTTAGTTTAGTAAATTGCATGTTGTCACACTTCGTGAGTAGCGATCCGTGGGAAACAGGGACTGATTAGAAGATGGATGAGCTTCGGGACGAGAGAAACCTAGTCCTCACCATGGGTCACGGGTTCTGAAGTGGAGGAGGCAAGCAAAGATTTACCAGCACCAATCAAAGTGTGAAGGGGACGGAGCCGGTTCCTGCAGCTTTGATCGTTGAGAGCTTGTCAACAGTGGAGAGGAACTTCTCGAAGAGCCCACCGCCGGTGAATTCCAGTGGCGTGGTGGAGAGTCCGAAGCCTGGAACCTTGGCTGCCATTGGGTTTAGGGTTTAGGGATGTTTAGGGTTTAATGCATTTCCGTGCACATCCACGCCTGGCCTTGTCGCTGTGGCGGCCTGCTCCTAGTCAAGGGTTGTGCCAGAGGAACTCCGCTCGTATTGTCCCCGTTTGAATGTCCGACGAGGAAGCAACTGGAATCGTACTACACAAAGACAGGACCCGTGTGATAGATTCTGGCACACCTGTCACATCGCAGCATGGTCGCGAGTGTTTCAGTCAGAGGCAGGAGTATGTCCGACCATGCTCATGCTTGGGCCAGGACTGGGAAGATATCAGCAGACCCGGAATCAGCTGCACTGCCACTGTAGCAGTCGCCTCTCCCCTTGGATGGCTGTCGGTTGCCTGTCACCGCGCTCTGTGTTTTGGCGAGCCGTACAGAGACTTGACTGCAGAGCACCGACAGCGATGGCTGCGCTGGCCGACTCTCCAATTGACACATTCTGTTTTCGAAGGTTTGAGCGAGAGAACGGCAAGGACAACGCTTCTTGGGCAGCATCGTAGGCAGGACTTGTTTCGCCGTCGTTTCACTGGGTGCAGGCTGCCGGGGCAGCCTTAGTACGGAAAATGACTTGGCCGGTCGAAGACGTTTTGCGTTGGGTTTCTTCCCTCATTATTTCGGAACCCGTGCTAAACAGTTCAGGATGGGCGCTTCGACCACGTCCAAAAGTTTATTTTCCAGCTTTGCTGGCGCGACTACTTCCACTTCTACTGTGCTTTGGCTTTCCAATTCGGTTTGGAGGAAGCGGTTTTGCCGTTTCCAAGCTGACGTGAGTGGCTTATGGGGCCATCTCTGAAGTTCTGGACCACGAGGCGCTCACTTCGGCCGCCGGGTGTTCTTCCTGTCGGGCCCTGCGCGGCGAGCGCGTTCATGGAGGCCACTTGCAGGGTGAAGGCTTGTGGCATCCTTGCAAGTGCTGCCGGTTTGCTGTCCACGGGATTCCACGGGCATCCAGCCGAAGTTTGCAGGAAAGAGGGTAATTATGCAATCACTTATATGATTCGCAAGCGTGTTCAAAGGAGGGACGCAGCTATCGAACAGAGCTGGAAGCAAGGAAGGACCGCGCTTACATGCTTGCATTGCAGTTGGATTGTTCATCCTTTAACGGTTGCACATGTTCGCCACGATGCAAGAAAACAGCTTTGAGGACTGGTGTGCCCCTTGTGGATGCACTGATGAGGGAATTGGCCGCTACTGGATTTATGGCCAATCGGGGGCGCTGCTTCACTGAAGGTTGTTGATAATGCTGTCTTTGCTGCAGGTGCGACAGGCCCTAGAATTGCGGGATGCCTGAACACCGTGTGCTGCAGAATCTGCAGCGTGTGGATTTCTGTCCAGCAGTTTTCGTGTTGTATCAGTGGGGAGGGGGCGGGCGAGGTGCTAAGCAGAATATAGCTCTTTGCCAACATGGTTTCGGCCTCCGCACAGGTAAGAAGTCAGTGGCTGCTTCGCTTTGGACGGTTTCTGCTTCTTAACGAGGGGCCGAAGCTTCCCGAAAACCAGGCGCCCGGTTCGTGACCGGCATGGAAAGCAGAGAACAGATAGCATTCCTCGTCCTCCGATTGGGAAAGGTGGTCTCTCCTTTCAAAAAGCCCGCACACTACAAGCAACAGTCGGAATGCTTCATGGAATTGAACGGCACAGTTATTTGAAATAGGGAGGGCTTTACATGAATTCAACACTCGAAGAAGACACTTTTCAAAAGAGAACGTGGATAAACCAGCTGTTCGTGTGGTTGTCTGTCTGGCCAAGGTTACATAGTAGCCTCCTACCTGATACACTACCTGAACATCGACTGGCGTGTAGGGGCCGACTGGCCCCTGGCTCAGCTGAGCAGATCATGACCAGACTAGATCGAGTCGCAGCGGAGGTTCGAAAGTCTTCTATTGGACCATGATGTTTGCTCTAACTATGGCGGGAAGCCCAGTGGCCAGTTGGCCTGCGTCCACTAGCCCCGCAGCATGGCTGGATTCTGCATGATTCTGCGGATGACAACTTTGTACCACGACTGGGCTAAGCCAGGCAGCATTTCACTGCATGCTGTTCTGGAAATTCCTAGAAGACGATGCAAGTACTGCATCGGAGTCATTCGTCAGGCTGAGGGTTGTACGGTAAGCAATAGTTTTTTAGCTTCCCTTGCCTGTTGGTTGGTGTGTAAGCGTGTGCGCATGTGCCGGACAAAGGGCGATATGGCTATACGCACACAGGCGACGTATACACATGGGCTGTAGCGATTCTCGAATGCATCCTCACATCATGGATTCCAAACTAACAAGGCTAAGACAGTGCGTGGCGTTGACGAAGAGACTTCGCGATTGCATCCACCCATATTGAAGTGGCGTTGCATCTCGCAGTCCAGGCTCCTTCGGTCGAGGGTTCAAGGCACTAACTTTAAACCGGGCTGCTACTGGCAATAGAGATCGCGCTGCGTTTGCATGCTTGACCACTGCTAAGACATCCGAATCTACGGGTGTTGTTGTTTGATGGGACAAGCTATCCTCACGAACAGCACAGTGGCACACTGTCCTCTGCATGTTTCTGTGGTTAATCATCTCCGACCAAATGTGTTGCTGCCGTTCATAGGCGCGTGTGGTGTATTAACGAATCTGGTCAGTCAACTTGTGAGCCCATGTCTTGGCAGCTGAAGCACGGAGCAGTTGAGTCGAAGGTGAGTGGGCGTCCATGGCAAACATCGCTGTCGATCTTGGAGCATCCGGACTACAACCAGCGTGAGCGGGGTCCGATCAAAAGTGTCAAAAAACGCTTTGATCGAAGCATGCAATGCAGCCGCAGCGCGCGCTCCAAGGACAAGTACCCATTGGGCTTGAAGGGGCGCGGTCCTACGGGAGGCCGCAGGCCAGGTGCGCAGCTTGGTGATTAAATTGGAGTCTGCTGTGCATCATGGGAATCAGCCTAGAAAGAAGCGATGCAAGACAAGTACAAGCCGTGCCTCCGATGGGCCGGAGACGAGCAGCAAACTACCGGTTGAAGCTGAAGTCCATTGAACCTTGAACTTCGCAAGCCAAGGCGAGGCGGTGGTGGCGATCCGTGGGCGAGGGGTGCCCTCTGGCTGCATGCATGGCCGGCGTGGGCATCCATGGCTTCTAGGACCTAGCACGGCACTGCAGTCGACGCTGTTGTCGGAAACTGCACAAGCGGTACCAGAAACTTGTGCCTGCACTCTGATGTGCTTGCACTCTCCAGGTGGAGCTTGGGGACTCTATATTCGATCCGTTCGAGCAGGCAAGCTCCGGTTACTTCAGTTGCTTTGAGGATGTAATGCTATGGAGGAGGCAGGAGCCGTGCGTAATTGCAGATCTGAGAAGAGAAATGACCTCGGGCGCAGAGGTCAACCACATGTAGGTGCTACACCCTGGGCCCTAAGCCATACTGGTACAGTAATTCTTGCATCTCCCGCTGAAGGCTCGTCAGTATGACCGCGACGAAAGCTACGTGAGGCTGGAGAGCTTGTGAGAGGTAATGAGGGATACATCCCGACATCAAACTTTCCATGCATGCAGCTCAGGCGCTGGGTGCCAGAATTGCGGTCTGTACCTGTTGGTAGCATCCATGCCCAGCCCAGAGGCCAGGACTTGGAGAAGCAGCTGAACTGATCTGTTCTTTCTGTGCACTTCTCTGAAGTCTTCAAGAGGCCCTAGTGGCTATCCATCCCCCGTGGCGGTCGAGCCAGCGGCACATCTGCAAATCAGCTCTTGCAGCCTCTTGCCTGTTTCGAATCTCTGATTGCAACATCTTGGAGCCACGATCCTGTTTTGCGGGGCAGATTCCTATAATTCAGGCATGTACAGATCAGGTCCTCTTGAGCCGCCGATGCGTACGACCTCCGCCTGGTACGAAGGTGGATCTCCTGCAAAGGTCTGTATAGCAGCTGCAGCATCATTGTTTTACTGACCTGAGCTCCTGCAACACACCGGTTTAGATACTAGTGAAGTCGGAAGAGCGAGAAACTCCGGATGCAGCGGAGGAGGCCCAGCCGAAGCAGCAGAGCCTGCCTCGAACGGTGCCCCGGCAACGTATTGTCGAAGGGGTCAGCCAGATTGGAGACCAGTCTCGATGTGTGGCGAGGCCGAATGTCCACCCACAAGGCCCGCAAGGACGGAGCAGGCCAGGTCTTGCCAGGAAGTTTCGTCGAGTCCAGAACACACCAAGATCCGGCTGAGTCGGAGGTCCTGGTGTCCAGTTAGTCAGTTTCGGGTCCAGGTTTCAGGATCTAGATGTGTGGGCACGAGCACTTGAAGCGACTGGCATGGCTTCCAGGGGTTTCGAGGGTTCGTCTCTGCTGGGGCACACGTTCTGGGCAGAGGGAGCTCCCGGGCGACGAGGCAAGCCCGCTGGGAAAGGGTCTAAATTCTAAGAAGTTTGGGGCTGAAACCCTAAATCCGCCCCCCGGTCTTCCATGCAGCTCCGGCCGGCTCACGACACAAGCCGACTCACCCCTCACCCCTCCTGCTCATGGGATCTCTTGGGCAAACAAGGAACTGCTATGAACTGCTGTCATGTTTGAGCATATGTTGGAACACTTCGACATCCCACAGCCAAGGCCACGCGTTGGGGCCGTGTGTTCATTACATTCGTTCCGAACAGTTCGCTGCCGAGCCTGCGTCGCTCGCGTCGGGAGGCTCGCCCAGCACGCCGATGGCAGGCGAAAGGCACCAGGACTTCTGCACATCCTCTACGAGAGTGCAGTCTTTTGCACTGACCTCCCTTCGCGGCTATGAATCGCTTTTTCCCTCTGTAGGTTTGGGAAGAGTTCCGTGGGAGCCATGACCAGCTTTCGCAGGAGCTTGGCTGCCTGATGCCTGGGCAGCTTCCGCAATGCTCCTACGCGCATTGCAGGTGGCAACTGCTGGTCTGAGCCAAGACGAGTCAGTTCTGGAGTGTCTGCCCAAAATATTGCTAAGATTCGCACACACGGTGGAGATCTTGATTGCGAGGTTCCAAGCCCTGGCCTATGCCGCTGAATTTTGGCTCAGGAATCAGCAAGTCCTTCTGGGAGCACCGACTGGCTCGACCTAGCAGGGGACAGTAAACATGCCATCCAAGCGTCGCAACAATGGCCGCTCCAAGCACGGACGCGGATGCTTTGCTGGCAAATCGGGCGCGCATGGCTCTGAGCCCAAGAGCCTGCCCTCAGACATGTAGCCTGGAATGCTGCTTAGGACACACAGCTATTGTCCGCTGCTCCAACTGCGCACGCTGCGTGCCCAAGGACAAGGCAGCAGTATTTTGGGGAAGTAGTTGGGTCGAGGGGCAAACATGATAGGTAGAAGACAGCTTTGTGTAGCTTGCACACACTGATGCGAGGCCATCAAGCGCTTTCAGGCCGGGTGGCATTGATCTTCATGACCAGATACGAACCGCCACATTATTTGCATCCCGAATGCCAAAAAGTACGCCCAACACCCGGTTGACAACAGTACATCGAGCTTCAGGGAGACTCCGTGAGGTGAGGAACATGGTGGATGCGTCATCGCAGCGTGACCTTCGTGAGGCGAGCGTGCTGCTTGGCTCGAACACCTTGCGACCAAGTGCCACTTCCCCGAAGAATGGAGAGTGTCTCGGTGAGCTATGCGCGCTTAGGTACTCAAGCTTCATGCTGTTACAGCCTCAGCATGTGTCCAAACACCGTCATGGCGGAACTGTACTTGTCCCCTGAATCCTTCAACACCTCTCTGGACGGGTCCAGGCCGAAGCTTTACATGAAAATGCTGTACTGCGTCTCCTGCGCAATCCACGGACGAGTCGTTAGAGTGCGGAACAAGGCCTGGCTCAGATTGGTGTCCAATCCAGGTTATTCTGACAAGGCCTGCAAATGAAAGTTTCTTCCCAGGTGCTTCGCGCCAGCCCAGAAGGTCGTGTGTACAAGCCACCGCAGAAGGGAGGTGGCAAGGGCAACTGAAGCAACTGAGGGGCCAGGCACTTCCTGTGTAGACTGCGAGCGACGTTGCGCTCCAATTGCATTTGCACGACCTCAAGTATTGCAGTAGCTGCTCGAAACTTCTTGTTGAACCGATGATGCCTGTGAAGGATAACCTTTTCATGCTGGGTTGGCTTAGAGAGCGGATTTTGCATCCTGTGCGAATCTACCTTAGAGACCCTTGAGGTCGCGTGCAGTTGCTTTCTTTCGGGTCGCCTAAGGGGGTTTGGCAAATGCGCACGTGTCCTGCTTTTCGGAGCTCGGTGGTTTCTCACTAAGGTCTATGACCTTAGGACCTTAGGTAGAATCAGCAAGTCTTCGCTATGAAATAGTGCCCCCTGTGGAATCGGACAAGGTCGTGCAGCGTGCAAGGCAGGCTGATGTTTGAGAGCCCAGTCTTTGATGGCGTGCCTTAGACAGACGGTCCGATTCAGCTACAGCAGCTACAGGCTATACCCAGAAGGATTGCGTGAATAAAAAGAGTTGGCACCTGCTTTATGCAGAAGGAGCACCCCGTTTGAGAGCCTGTGAGTGGCTGACAACAAAACTTTGCTCTCAGTCATGTCAAGCCGGGGTTGCGATTGAGTCTTTCAGTCAAGACGAGTCAAGACCATCCGGAGGCATTGCTTCGAGAATTGCAACGAGGAGTGAGTTGCAAGAGGTACATTGGGGAGCTACTTGATGGAAACGACATGAAACGGCTTCCTTGCAAGCAGGCCAACAGTGGCCGTGACTTCAAAGATCCCTACCACAGCTTCTCTTGCGTGATTTGATGGCACGCCTCATTTTTCTGTGATCCTGCCAGCGCCTCCCAAAGATATGGAGGTGACCGGGACATTACTGCACAGGTTAGTGAGCGCAACACGCGCAAGCTCTGTGCAGAAATTTTCAAGTGCCCTTGGCCTTCCAGTTTAGAAGCAAGCATCATCCATCGCCACGCTAGCTGCATTGCAGGCATGTGCGTGTGCTCGCACAGCTTTCCTGCGTTGAATCAATAACATGCCGTGCCGTCGAGCCTGCCCAGCTCTTACGAGGTCTTACGGTGTAAGCCGAACAGTACAGCTCGAGCTGATCTGGTACATTTCTGGGAGCCCAGACATGAGACAGAGCCCGAGGTGCAGAGTCTCAGAGCGGACAGAACGGTCAGCATAGGGTCAGCTTTCACCTGAACCCAGGTCTTTGTTCTCTCGCCTCCAGCCTGGTACACATTTGCGGCCGCACTGCGGGCCGGGGCCTGTTTTCAGAATTCGAAAGGGGCCGAGGTGTTGATGTTACTCGTGTTGCTGTTTGGGAATCGGGTCGGGTCCATTTGTCAGCCGCAGATTTTTGCTGCATATCCAGACGGCAATGATGCAGTTGACAACTCCGAAGAGCTCGCATGGGTACTTTCGTTCATGCAAACACGTGTGTGTCATGCAGTCTTGTTTCGACGATCGCTTGCGCTGTAAATGCAACCCTGCGCACGTTTCTTTCTGGCGCTGATCTGGTAATTAGATGGAACGCTACGGTTGATTGCGGACAGTTTGCTCAACGAGCGGCCGCTTGTCAGAGCCGTCGGCAGGCCGACGAATATGCGACTGACCTGCCACTTGGGCCTCGACATTCCGGAGGGTTGCAGGTGCTTTGGATGCAGAGAGTGTTCACCAGATTGCAGTCAAGCGATCGCGGAGAACAACGCCTCTTCTATGTACTGAGTCAAAGAGGCTCTTTCGAGACCAGGTGACCAATACTGCATCTCTGTTTGCTTTAGCCTGCCTCTGCATCAGCACGATGCAAGGGGGAATTCAGAGATGGGAGTTGTGGGAGTTGTTTACGGATTTGGTTTAGTCCAAAGCGTTTATAGGGGGCCCGTGGTTCTGATATGCTACCAAAGGCAGCGGGGAGGGACCCCCCACTTATACCCTGCTGCCGTCTCCGCCAGGCCCCGGGCCCTGCCCCCCGGCCGAGCACATCTGCGCAAGTGAAAACTGAAGACAGCAGCATCGCCTGCGAATGTAGGCAAGTTATTATTGTACGTGTTGATAAGCATCGAGGAGTTTGTAGGGTTTTTTATAGGAACTTTTTGAGAGTTCGTTTGTCGCTTGCGCTCGGCTCAGAGCTTCCTCGCCGAGGATCACTTGCGCGGGCGAGTCTCGCGCGACTCTCAGCACCGTGCTGGGCGTTGCAGGCGGGCAGGTGCAATCTGTGCAAGAGTTGGAGCTTCAGAACCCGCTGCCTTCTTCAAGTCGGGACGGCTGCATCCGAGGCTTGAAAGTATCAGTGGCTTCACTGAGGCGAGTGGGTGACCGGCAAGTGCATTGTATTCGACGATTCATTTGAGCACGAGGCTCCGTTCCAATTAGCTACAGAGACATTGGTTCTGGCTGTTTGGAACCTTTGTCCTGCAGGTCGTGCACGAAGGAAGCCAGCCACGCACTGTTCTTCTGGCTGGGGCCTTTATTGTCAGTACCACGATGTTCACCAGCCTGGAGGGAGGATGCATCCAGGAAGATGGAGAAGTCCCCGGAAGCGAGTTCAGCGCAAGCAAAGTCACAAATAAGGTTCAAAGGCGAGATGCAAGAAAGCACTTCAAGCATGATGTTAAACACCAGAGGACTAGAATCTAGGGAAGAGCTGTGCGCATTCTGGAGGAAACCCTAGTCGCGCAGCCACGAAGACCTTCTGAAAGACAGCCCCTTCCTTTCCGACAAGCGGGTTCGGTGCGATGCGAAGCTGTCAGCAGATTGGAACCGGATTCATAAGACCGTGGAGCATGGGTTAACTAGGGACTTCGTCAGGACCACAGTCGCAAGTGATTTTAGGAATGGACCACCTGACCCTCCCATTCGGCAGCCATCTGCAGCTTTAGTCGGCAAGCAGTGGGCACTGCCTGGTAAAGATTCATCGCCAGGTCAACTTCTGGCACCCGGACATTCCGTGTGGCAGGCAGTCGTCTGAGCAGGGCATGGCCAAGGTTTCCATTTTGCAAAAGAGCGCTCAGGCAATTCTGATGTTCGTGCATGCCTGATGAAGCACGAGAGACAAGCCGAAACACCTTGCCTTCACTTGTCGCGACGAGGCGCTGCGAGCTGTTCCGGCCTCAGCACTCAAGCTCGAGAAACTCGTGGCAAGCCCTGGCCACAAGTCAGAAGAGTAGTGAGACTAAGAATATACAAGGACAATACTAGAAAATTGCCCTTATGTCCCGCTGCATAGTGAGACCTCAAGGATGGCACGGCAGCGGAAGAGAGCAATAATAGAAGCCTGCAGCAAGCAAGAGTAACAACAGGACTAATAAGCAAATGGCAGATCCGCCGCGGTCTTTGATGGGGGAAGGCCTTCGGGCCAGAAGGTTCTCCCTCATACCACATCGTGCGAAACACATGACGACTCCCATCCCGGAAAGGGGCAGCACAGACTTTGCTGGCGCAGACTGTGGTGGGCTAGGCAGGAGACCCTCAAGGCCTCCACACGGGGTCCCTAGCAAGCAAGCAAGCAAGCAAGAAAGAGAGTAGTAGTAGTAGTAGTAGTAGTAGTAGTAGTAGTAGTAGTAGTAGGAATGAGAGTGATTGTCTGACGGATAACAGTATTGGCTAGCTACAGGTTTAGATTCATCATCAGTCATCAGTCATTTCCACAGACCTGCCGGACTTCTTGAGACATCACCCTGTTTGCATTGCGGTCCTGGGAGATTGATTCGTTTGCTGCCTCAGTATGGAAACTGAAGCAATGCATCTGAGAGACCATCTGTCTGGCGCCAAACCAATGGCCGAGGAGGAAGGAGCTGGGCTGAGCGAAGCAGGACGGTCTCTTGCAGCTCCATGCGAAAAATCGACGCAGGCTTTACTTTCATGAGAGAGATGTAGGCCGTTTGCGCAGCTACCGAAGCACGCACCCCTGAACTGGGATTTATTACTTCTGGGCTTCAGTTTCAAACCGCAAGTCTATTCCAAAGCTTCGGCTTTGATGGCAAAGACTCCGTGCAAGTCCTGGCCTTCAGCACAACATTCAACCCTACCAGCAGGACTGAAACCAATCAACTGACACCTTTCCCGACTTTTTGAAGACTAGTGACTAGTTTCTCACAGAAAATCCTGTAAACTGTGGCCGTCAGCTTCGACCGCCTGCAGCAACTACAGTAGGCAGTTCTGCGCCCTACGGATCGAACAAACAAGAGTGTTGTGTGAGAGCAGAGTGATGTGTGCAAGCACGGACTGCTTAAGTGTTTCAGGTGACTCTGGACAGTGGGTTTATGCATGTACATGAAGACCACTCTGGCAGTGCCTGCACGAGCCACACGGCAATACACAATTCGGCAAGGACCAGACGCCAATAGGAAACCGCATTCTCGAGCAGAGGCATGCTTGCCGGTCGAAGGGACACGAAGATTCACGTGTCACAGGTCCAAGGGAGATTCTTGGGGTTTCGGGTCTGAGTGTTGTTGTTTCCCGCAGGTGTCGGTTTGGGCGCTATACCCTTTCAGCATGTGCGCTACGTTTGAATGCTTCTTTTGGCTCAGTGCACAGGAATTGCTCTACAGGGGCGTCACGTCCAGGCAGAGGTCTTTAGCCCAACGGCTTGCGACGGTCCCAAGTCCCAACCAGCAAAAACACAAGCAGCCGAATTGCCGGGCACTTCGAAGAGTTGGCTCCAGATTACGAGACAGACAAGAGCACAAGTGACTCAACACTGTGCATTTTAAAGGTGAGGATTATGGCAACCGGGGGACATGGCTCAGCGCCGACGACTCACCCAGAAGACTTCGCCCAAGGTGCTGATCTTGGATCTCATGGCCAGCGCCACACACTCTACGACTCTACGAACGTCAAAGCTTGCATGCTAGAAGTTTCAGCAGATCCGAAGCCTTGAGTTCTGAGGACGTGCACCGGTCGTTGCTGACGTCATTGCCTTGCCGTCGAACCCAGCTTCTTCAGACTGCACACCAACTTGGGAAGTAGATGCAAAGGGGCACTGCGCATGTGCTTGTCAGGAAACAATGGAGTGTCAGACTTTTGGTGTGAATGACTTTCTCATGCTTCGGGCGAAGGCGACAAGCTGCTGCTGCCCTTTCTTGGAGCGCGAGACTTGCTTAGGTGGCTCGCATCGCGTCGAGTGTAGCTGGCTTCATCTTTCCCACGCCAATGTAAAATAGTTGTGCCTCGCCGTTACACTAGAGCCAGGGTTGTGCCACATGAAAGTGTTTTGTTTTTCTTATGCTCAGCCTTCTCACCGATGCTTTCATTCCAGGAGAATTTCCAGACATGCCGATAGATTTGGGCAGGTACATTGCCACCTGCCGTACGTGCCATGCAAGCGCTCGACCCTTAGCCTGGCCTAAGCCTTTCCGACGCGTGGATTCATGCAATGCTTGCTTCACAGCTTTCGGGGTGCGTCCAGCCAAGCGCAAAACCTCGAAAGGCGCACAATGGGAATCGACTTGAGCTATCGCGCGTCCTGCTCCCAGTCGGAATTTTGAACGCATTTGAGCGAATAGCAGAGAAAGTTCGGTTGATGAGTCATTGGCATTCATTGGCATATTATGTCACAGCATGTCTCCTGGCAAGATAGATGCAGCTGCAAGCTAGATGGGGAATCCGCAGAGCCACGAAAATTCCGATATGTCATGAGGATACTCAGCTTGAAGCTGTGCTCCATGCTCAGCTGAGGTGGCACAGTTCCCTGCCTGGCTTAGCCATGACCTCAGTTGCTCCTCGCCAGTTTCGATGAGGACCTTACAAATTGAAAGATGGCCTCCCTTGCACTGTAGGCCCCGCTGCTGCAGAGAGCCTTGCGCGGCGACTTCATTTGGCCTCAATCCGCAGCCCTAGCCCCACCGCCACTCTCATGCCGTGCCCATGCCACCACGCCGATTCAGGCATCGATGCAGAGGACAAAGGGGGCTCTGTCAAAGCTGTCAGAGACTCGGTCATTGGAGAAGAATTCAAAACCGATCGCGGACAGCTAGTCCCAGGTGCGCGTTCTGCTCTTGCAAGTCTTTCTGCGACAGGCACAGCAGCCGCCTCAAACAGGTTGGCCAAGTGCTCAGAACTCTGCATGCAGAACATTTGCGTACGTTTGCGTCAAGCGGTTTCATGCGGTGGACGCTCTTGAAGCGAAGCAACGGTGCAGACTCGTAAAGCTGCGCTACTAATTGAATGCTTTCGTGCCTCCGTGCGTCTGGGCTGGCGGCTGGCAGGTGGCAGAACAAAACGCCATCACCTGAACGCGAGATGCAGCCTCTGACAGAAGACCCACTCTGGTGGTTTATGGTCGACCGGCTGCAAGAGATGTCAGTTAGGCCGGTGAAGCTTTGTAAAAGATTTTCAGTTTGAGAGGCCGATGAAACTTGCGCGGAGATGTTGTCATTCGCCATGCCATACTTCTGCACAGTGACTTTGGGTTCATCGAGGGCACTTCAAAAAGTTTCAGCGCTCATGTGTGACCCAGATGCAGATTGGCGTGTCCAAGGTCAGTCTCATTCGGGAGCTTGCCATTGCCCGCCAACATCGGCCATGTCCTTGGCTGCAAAAACACAGCCGGGACAATGGTGGAGTGTGAACCCACACTCGCCCAAATGCTGCAAGGTCGATGTCCAATGCTTTGCTGCCAAAGCTCCATGCCGTCAACCTGACGCCGCCGCCTCACCGGGTCAAGAGGCGTGCCCTTACTCTGTGTCAGCCGAGGAGCCTGCAGTCCAGCATGTCGGAAACCTGTGTTGGCTGCGAGCTTCTCGAGAAGATGGTCGGGATCCCGAGAAGCGATCAAACCAGTGGCGAGCAGCATTGAAGCGTACTGGTACGTATGGTCTGGAAGGCTCCATCCCATCCATCCTGTCAGATGTTTGTTGGTGAGTCAGCGTGCAACGCACCAAGTGCGGATTCCAGAGGTGGCCACGCTGATGTGGGAAGCTCCGAGGCAGAATCCTCAGACCCCAGTACGCACTACTCGCATCACTGCACAAGACCTTTGCAAGAAGAACAAATCCCACTGGGCGTACTCGTAGCGTTCCTGGCGGCAGCTCGGGCCAGGCTCGAGGTTTGAAAGCCTAAAATTGCCTAAAACGCAGGTTTTTTTGCGCAAACAGAGGGATCTGTACATGCTCCTCTCGTGGAAGCAACCGAACAGCCAGGCAAGGTGCTAGTTCTCAGGCTCCGAAACTGAGCTACTCGAGAAGAGGTTGGAACAGCTGCGCTTGCCGCAACACTGCCACTTGCAGCCGCAGAAGCTTCAGAAGGCACGGGCCGAGAATTTCAAGATTCGGGATTTGGTTCAGAGTTCACTGTCTCAAAAACATGGGAACACTGTTTGGCTCAGCGGTTGCCTGCCGCTGTGAATGTGGCAAGAGGCGCTTCGACAGCATCCGAACACGGCAGCCGTGTCGGGGGCTGGAAGCTTAGCGTCTTTTTGCTACAATTGTGGAGTGTCGAGCAGAGTTTCCGGAAGGAGCTGCAAGCGGCAAGATTAATTTATGTGCACGGCGCACCTTATCTGTCTTTCTCGCCGGCCGGCGAATCTGTAGCTATGCGAACGTTTCTGAAATCCTTTGTTTGCATGGTAGCTGGTTCAGGAGAATTAAGGAGCTCTCATGATGTACAATCCAGCTGCCCTTGCCATCCCGGACATCGTCCATTAAGGCCTTGTGCGGATGGTTGCCACCGCAAACTACATCTTCCATGTCGCGCCCTCAGCCGAGCCATCTCAACTTGCCACGGCTTCCTTGTTCGATCTTGGCTTGACTTCCTGTGAGAGCGCCTACCTCACAGTTCTGAAAACAAGCGCATCGGCAAAAACTGCGCAAGTCCTTGCTTAAAGTGATTTCAGTCTGGACTGAAAAACTTTCCTGCCAGCATTGCTGACCGTCGCAGCAGATCATGAAAGTCAAGTGCGAGTCCGCGTCCAGTTATGACAAAGCGGACTTGCGATCCTTGTGGATGAAGTACACATGTGTCATGAAGCAAGGGGCTCCGCATATGTCGGCACATGTTGCTTCCTGCTAGGCAGACCGCGTACGTCTTAGATGCCATGGCCATCGAGTCTGCCCAGGACTTCGCAGCCACAAGCAGCTATGTGGGGATCTCCGCACTTTGTAGCTTGCAAGCACATGCTCGCAAACAGATCCTGTTGTGAGGATGACCTACTAAGCCTTCTGTCCTGCAGGTATACAGGAAGCGTCAATTGCAGTGACCTTCGTGTTGGGAGCGAATGCATGCCGTGCCTATGGTCGAGCTTGTTGCATGGTTTTGTTCACCACGACAGATGCCCCGCTGCCTGCACTCGCGGTCAGGTGTGAGACCTTTGTGTCCTTTCGAACGCGACTTCTGCGGTGCAGATCTGCATGTGAACGCTTGAAACTCGCATTGGCTCGAACTTGCCGCAAACAGATCAGCACCGCATATTTATCCCAGTATGGCAGCAGGTGCAGCAGTGTAACTGGTGACAGGATCTTGTACAGTAGTCTGTAGTAATCTGTGTGTGAAAGATTGCGACAGGATCTCGATCATCGCCTGCAGCATAGGTAGCACCTTCTGGTCAACGCGATGCCGGAGCCAACGGCAGAAGAGGTGGCGGAAGCTTCGGCCAAAATGGCCGCAGAGTTCGAGACACAAGCGGCCGACATGCGGCAGTACTGGGAGCAGCATCTCGGTGCGAGACATAGACTAGCCCGTACTTTGCACGCTACACCCGGAGCTTTCAATGAACGGCCACGACTTGAACTTGGTGGAGTGGATGCTCAAGGGCCACACCACCTAAGCTCGGCACTAATGTTTGGTACTTAGCGCTAGGTCTTTCTGACCGAAACTAAGGGGTGCTTACACACATGTGTCCTGTCAGATGCCTGCACCCTCATCCCCCATCACGCACGGTGTCGGGGAGTTTCTCCGAACAATGTTCCCACACCAAGAGGACCGCCGAAAATCGCCCACTGATGCAGAAATGGGGTTGGGGCCAACGGAATTTGCATAAGTGCGTCCACACCTGCTTACGTCATGCCTCGGATGCCACGGCACCCTCATCCCGAAATGAACCCTAAACATCCCTAAACCCTTAAAAGGGGTCGTTTTTTAGGTATTTTTTGTTTTTTTGGTGGTATTTTTGTTGTTTTTGTGTGCTTGTGTCTCGCAAACGCTTCTTGACCTTGTCGCGGCCCTCGACTAAGCGGTCACACAGTCACGCGGATAGCCGCTTGTTCGATTCATCTGCTGTCTTCTGGATCGTCTTCCACTGGAGACTACTGTAACTGTAGCGGTAGCAGAGGTTGTAATTTATAATGGCGGCGCGAACCCATGGTCTTACAGCTCCTTATGTAGGAAAAGGCCCTCGTACAGCCGCGCTGCAATGATGCAACAGTTTTTACTAGACTATATGAAGAAAACTATGTATTGAACACTGTATAACATGCATCATGTATTGAACGCCATACGTATATACACACATACATACATGCATGCATACATACATGCATGCATACATACATATTTACATATATATATATATATATGTATATGTGCTGTAGTATATGCAATATATAAGGTATGCTAAATATTGAAATACTGAATACTAAATATGTGCAAAACCAATTACAAAACATATTTCGTGCGATATATAGTATTTGGTAGACAATATAGAAGGTGCAACAAATTCTGTGTATAATATGTACGAAAAATTCATATATATACACATACACATATTGTATAGTATGTTTTTACGTAATACAAATAATACACCTACTAGCAAAGCTACTCTATATATATATATATACACGATATGTACGTGTGCATATATACATACATATTATATAACAGAAATATGTCCTTAGTGGAAAACCTATAATCTATATAAAATATTCATACACACAATATATATAATTTTCATATAGAATGCCTATTTGGTGTAACTTATAATAGGATATACTACCTTAATATAGTATAACATATAATATGTTAACAAATATAATAGACCATTACAGAACATCAGACTAACTAAGTGGTCACACGTATGTAAAAGGCCGCGTGGGTTTTCGCAAGCAGCATCTTTTTCGAATGTGCTTTTATCCCACGCTTGCCAGCAAATGTGAGCAATTTGCATTTATGTTTCTTGAAGTAACTTAGGGCGTTGCTGTAAATACCAGTGTCTTGGGCATGGTCGCGAAAGGCATGGACTTGTGATAGATTTTCATTTTCTTGTTCCACATCCTTGTGC